GCTTGACTCCAGGTCAAACTGGTTCTAAAACCTGTGCCCACTGTCATTTTCAAAAAGTGACACATATGGCCAAAATAGTCACTGAGTGTCAGGAATTTCCTGTGTTTTTGAACAGTGACTGATTTCAGGTGTTCACAATCATAGCAGTGACCTGGATGGGAACAACAGCCTATTTGGGGCTTGTGTTGTCTCAGCTAAATATCTATGCTCTGCATGGGCAAGCTGCCTGAATAAGACAGTCAGTGACAGCTGAGGGATGCTTCATTCTTTCTCATCATTGTGCTAAATCAAGCATTGCAGATCTCTTTTGTGACAAGTCTCCTGATTTGAGAGGTCATATGATAAATTGTTGGGAATGCAGGGAGACAGGGAGAATACCAAAAACCCTTTTTGACCTTAAATTCCATAACTTAGTAAGTTAAATATTTAGGTCAGGTAAGGTGGGGGAGTAGGGAATATTACCTTCACTGCTCTTACCTGCAGCCAGAGCCTGAACATTTTGGGCACAAGGATGCGTCTTATGTAAGTCCCAGAAGCCATGGGAATTAGGAGCTGTTCATAACTCCAAAGTCTGGTATTAGTCTAAATAAAATGATTTATCATCCTCTGTCAAATTTATTTCCAGGAAGTACTGGCATATATGGGAGTGTGTATACTCATGTACGTATATTGTAAGGACTAAGAATTATGGTTATAAAATTATCTCCAAGGTTAGAGAAGACTAATAGACTCCATGATTTAGGGGGTCAGGTGTTTATGAGAACTGTATTAAATGTGGTTACCTTAATTAAATTGGGCTTCAGAGTTGTCTGGCTTTGAAGGCAAAGGCTATTTTCTCTACTGCTCTCTTATACTCCCGGGTGCCTATCCCAGTGGGGGCTGTATAGGTGCTTGGTAAATACATGGTGATTGGCTAGTGAAGGAAGAAAAATCCACATTACAGTTGGTTGAGCTGAGATATTGCGCTCACAATCTTTGGGTCCCGGAGTTGAAGAATCTTTCATTTTCTTTCAATTCTAATTTCATACACATAGATGGCATATTTGTTTCACTATCTGGCTTTTATGACAAGGTACTATTTGTCTTTGGGGTGTGAATAACAAGGAGATACAATTACCTGGGTCTCACAATTGGAGTAACCACTTAGAAATATCAGAGCAAGTGAAACCAAAGCAGCATGCCAGATTATAAAGCTTCAGTGACTTGGCCAGAGTGTGATCCAGAGGGCAGCCAGAGCCTTAATCATCAGTGAAGCAGCCTTAGCACATCCTCTGTTGGTGGTTTCCTGGAAGTGAGAGAGAATAAAGAAGATAGGCTTGGTGTAGTGGTTCATGCCTGTAATCCTAGCACTTTGGGAGGCTAAGGTGGGAGGATTTTGCTTGAGCCCAAGATTTCAAGACCAGTCTGGGCAACAAGAAAGAACTTGTTTTTACAAAAAAAAAAAATTAAAAATTAGCGAGACATGGTGGCAGGTGCCTGTGGTACCCAGTTACACAGGATCACCTGATCCCAGGAGGTGGATGCTGCAGTGAACTGTGTTCACACAACTGCTTTCCAGCCTTGGTGACAGAGTGAGACCCCGTATCAAAAAAAAAAAAAAAAAAAAAAAAAAGAAAGAAAAAGAAAAGAGAAGAAGATATTGGCCAACCTAGGCAACTTGAGGACTGTTGGTTCAGGTTACACCGATCCAGCTATGGAGGATTAAAGGGAGAAGGGAAAGACAAAGCTAAAACCTATTGTGTGGAAAAAAAGAAAAGAAAAAAAATCCTGTCATATGTAGATGGTGGAACAGCTGTCCCTTTGTGAGCTTACAGTAAGAATTACTTTTTCTCTTTTGAGGCAGAGTCTTGCTCTGTTGCCCAGGCTGGAGTGCAGTAGTACAATCTTGGCTCACTGCAACCTCCGCCTCCTGGGTTCAAGTGATTCTCCTGCCTCAGCCTCCTGAGTAGCCGGGACTACAGGAGCACAGCACCACACAAAGCTAATTTTTGTATTTTTAGTAGAGATGAAGTTTCACCATGTTGGTCAGGCTGGCCTCAAACCCCGACCTCAGGTGATTCACCTGCCTCAGCATGCCATCATGCCCAGATGGATTGCTTTCTCTTTAAGTATTTAAAGAGAATATTTCCCATGTTTTTCTACTACTGAAATTTATAAAGCACTGAAGGTTGGCAATGGATAGGCCCTCACTCATCACTATCTCAATATGTCATTGTAAAATGATTTAATAAGCAGGACTCTTTCCGGTATAAGTGGCAGAAACCAAATTCAAACTAACAGTGAAAAAGGGAATTTAGGCTTGGTAAGGTGACTCACGCCTGTAATCCTAAGACTTCGGGGGGCTGAGGCAGGTGGATCACTTGAACCCAGGAGTTTGAGAGCAGCCTGGGCAGCAGAGCCAGACCCAGTCTTTACAAAGAAAAAAAAATTTTTTTTAATTAGCAGAGTATGGTGGCATGTACCTGTAGTCCCAGCTACTCAGGAGGCTGAGGTGGGAGGGTCGCTGGAGCCCAGCAGATGAAGGCTGCAGTGAGCCATGATCATGCCACTGCACACCAGCCTGGGTAACATAACAGAGCAAGACGCTGTTTCAAAAAAAAAAAAAAAAAGAATTTATTCATTCATAACCAAAAAGTCCAAAGAGATATCTGGTTTACATATTGCTAGATGTAGGAGCTTAAGCCAAGTTTTAGTCTTTTCTGTTTCTTCATCTGCTTTCCTTTATGTTAACTTCATTCTCAGGTAGTGCCTTCCCACATAGTTGGAGGAGTTCCAACCCAAGTCCCAGGGCTAACTCTGATTGGCCTGGAGTAGTCGACTCCTGAACCAGTCAATGAGACTGTGGAGCTTCAGCTGGACAGGGAGTCAGCAGCACCCAAACCACCTGGACTGAGGGCAGGAGAAAGTGATCCCCAAATGAAAATCGAAATGCTATTATCAGAAGGACAATGAATACAATGTGGGAGTTGGAGAGGAAAGATGTCCTCTGTTGGGTAAAAGGAGTTCCAAAGATGCAATTTTTTTTCCCCACAAAGCTTGGGGTTTCCATGGAAAAGACATTGGTACCTGAACAGTGAGAAGAGTGATTGCTTTTCTCAGTTCTCCCTGTGTATTAGTCCGTTCTCACACTGCTGTAAAGAACTGCCTGAGAGCTGGTAATTTATAAAGGAAAGAAAAATTGACTCACAGCCCCACATGGCTGGGGAGGCCTCAAGAAACTTGCAATCATGGTGGAAGGAAGGCAAACATGTCCTTCTTCACATGATGGCAGGAAGGAGAAGTGCCCTGCAAAAGAGAGGAAAGCCCCTTCTAAAACCAGCAGATCTTGTGAGAATGCACTCACTGCCAGGAGAACAGCATGAGGGCAACCTCTTTCATGCTTCAATTTCGTCCCAGCAGGTTTGTCCCACGACACATAGGGATTATGGGAACTACAGTTCAAGATGAGATTTGGGTGGGGACACAGCCAAACCATATCACCCTACCTAAGTTAAAGACAACAGACCCATACACAGTGAAAAGCAAACCCCATGTGGAGGGTTGTATTTTCACATTATATTGACATTCTAACTAGCTCTCAGGGTGGATTGTCTCTGCCCTGAACCTGTGTTGATTATTGGTAGTTGAGATTCTGAAGATGTTGCAAAGACAACTGGGCTGTGGCCACCGAGATGTAAATGCAGTAGCTTTTCTATTAAGTACTCTCATATTGAGATGAAAATGCCTCTGACTTGGCCATTTTGAGTGATGGATCTTAAGGCCAGGACCTTTTTACCAAGAAGTATGGCTAAACCAGCTGCCCCATCTAAGTAAAGGTCTTTGGTAATTTTTCTACTCCATCTGAGCTGAGCTGGAGCAAATTCTCTTGCCCCCCTAATCTAAATTCTGCAAAGCTTGTGGAGCCACTATTGTATCCCTGGTGCCAGGTGATCAGTATGCAGGCAACTAGAACCCTGCCCCAAGGAGGCAGAGAGAAGGGCAACTTACAGAGGGAGGTGGACCATGAAAGAGGAGCCCTCTACCATGTCCCAAAGCTCCACCTGTAGCCTCAGTTCACACCCTGACCTGTCACTCCACCCTGTTCTCCTTTATAGCTTCCGGTTTGTATGGACACACGTGGAGAGACAGTAGAGCAAAACCTAACGCACATGGGCTTGGGAGTCTACCTGGGTTTAAACCTAGTCTCCACTCTGTTCCAGCTGTTTGATCTTGGGCAAATAATCGAGCTTCTCTGTGCCTCAGTTTCCTTATTGCTAAAGTCTGACTAATAATACTTCACAGAACTGTTGCTTGGTAAGATAGGAACAGGTTGCTGTTCACATAAAGAGGTTGCTGTGCCTGTTCTCTATTCGCCGTCTTTGAAGAGTGTTAATTATACTATCATTTGTACTTTGGGCTGTGCTAAACCCCAGTGGGTGGGATCCTGAGCTCAGGAGCCTTCTATCCAAGCCCTCGACAGACAGACAAATTGCAAAAGGAAAAGGCAAGATCAGCAGCACAGAGTAGAATGGGAGCACAGGAGTGGTCTTCATGAGAATGTTACATGTATAATTTATTCATTCTCTCTTGCAGTAGTAGTTACGGAGTGCCTGTTCTATACCAGTCATTGTATAGAAATTCTGGGCATATGATAATCATCCAGTCAGGCCTCTGGCCAGAAGGAACTCATAGTTTAGTTGGGAGCTAGATGAGTAAACACACAGTTATGGTCCAGTGTGATTAGCGTGAGAGTGGGATCAGCATAAGATCCTATTCTAACTTGGAAGTGTACGTCAGGGGTGGCTTCCTGGAGGAGGTGATGGCTTCCTGGAGGAGGTGATGTTTAAGCCAGATCCCTAAAGGAGCAGAAATTAGGAAGGGTGAGTAAGGACATGAGCATGAAAGGTGTTCCTGGCAGAGGGAATATTCTGTGCAAAGGCCTGCAAGTGACTGAGTGTATAGTGTGTTTCATTGTGTAGTCTTGGCTGTGGAGCAAGCTGAATGTGCTGCTGTCATTGCAGGGACATGGAGAAGGCGGAGCGGCAGGCTGTCCCCCAGGCCAACCACACAGAGTCCTGTCATGAGTGTGGCCGGGTGGGACCCGGACATACGAGAGATTGTCCTCATCGTGGTCATGACGACTTTGTCAACTTCGAGAGACAAGAGCAGGAGGAAGAGCGGTACCGTTCCCAGAGGGACCCGCTGGAGGGCAAGCGGGACCGAAGCAAGGCCAGGTCTCCATACTCGCCGGCCGAGGAGGATGCTTTGTTTGTGGATTTACCCACTGGCCCAAGAGGCCAGCAGGCACAGCCCCAGCGGGCAGAAAAGAATGGCGTGCTGCCTGCCTCATATGGCCCAGGAGAGCAGAACGGGACTAGTGGGTACCAGCGGGCCTTTCCTCCCAGGACCAATCCTGAAAAGCACAGCCAAAGGAAGAGCAACCTGGCCCAGGTGGAGCACTGGGCAAGGGCCCAGAAGGGGGACAGCAGGAGGTAAGTAATCGACCCGGAATTGCCGCTTATAATGAGTGCGATAATGTAGTGGCAATAGCTGTCATTTAGCCAGCACTTGCTTCGTAAGGGCAACTTTAAACTCTTTACCTCCATTACCTACATAAATCCCCATAACAACCCTGCAAGAAGGGGTGATATTCCTAACTTAGAAACTGGGGGTTGGAGAAGTGAAGGAACCTGCCCAGGGCACACAGATAAGTGGTCAAGCCAGAGTTCAGTCCTGGGTCTGTGAGCCTCCAAGGCCCTCACGCGATTACACCAGAGGCTTCTCTGCTCCTCAGAAAGAATGCCTTGAGACAATCAGCATGTAATTGATAACCAATCTTCTTCCTTTGTGCTGCTACTTCTCTACATCCGAGAAACGTTTATAGAAACGAGAGTAAATACAGATTCATTTTTAATTCCAGGCACACGCAGAAGTGTGTAGGCACTGTTGACATTGGGCTTTATCATACCCATTCCTTCAAGAAGTTTTTAATTATTTAGAAGGTATGCATCTCTTGCTATTTGCCAAGCACCGTCTGTATTTTATTATAATTTCAGATTAATTAGGACACATCTCTGAATGTGAAGAATTCAGGGTCACTAGCTTCCCTGTTGTCCCCAGAAGCCACTGTGCTTTGTCTTCCTTATGAAAGATGTGACAGATTCCCCTCACAATTCTCAGGCTTCTAAACAAATCATGGACAGGAGAGGAGAGAGCAAAGCCAGTGTGCATTCAGAGAGCTCCCCAGGCATTGCAGTGGATGTGCCAGCACCCAGACCGAACCGGCCACAGGCCTGATAACATGCTCTAAAAGGCCACACTGCATTCTCCCTGTTGGCCAGGCCCAGATTTTCTACATGTGGACTCTGGAGGTGGTAGTGCTCCTAGGGGAATAGCCTAGTCCTGTTTTCAAGTATGTGGGTGTGTTGTGCATATGTAGGTTGCTGTAACCTCTTATAATCTGGTCCAGCTGGGCAGTTGTGAGAATGGATGGTGGATAAATCACAATGGAGCCTTCCTCAGTCACTGATAGGTATTGTTGTGGAGCAGTCTAGAAGAGAAGGCCTACTGTGCTATAGCTAAGATACCTTCCCATTCCTGACTGGGAATGACCAGGTGTCAGTCCTGTTTGTTCACATTTTGTATCTTAAGAAAACAGAAATCGACTGTCTGAAGACACAGGGAAGGGAAGCTGCTCTTCTTAGTGCTGGCCGAGGTAGGCCCCTAGTAGGTGGTTGTAAGATGATCTTACTGCTGAGTGAGGGTGGAAAGTTGGCAGGGGTAATGTCATGTAGGGCCTCATACTCCAAGGTAAGGCATTTGAATTTTATTTGGAAAAGCAATAGGGGAACCACTGGAAGGTTTTAAGCAGTAAGTGATGTGATCTGATGAATATTTCAAAAGATAAGAGCCTAGGAAGGTGTGTTGTATTGTAATAGTCCAGGAGGGTGACAATGGAAGTAGGACAAACTGAAGCAATTTGAGGTACATTTTGGAGGTTGAAATGGTGAAGCTTGTCAGTGAATTTGAATGCAGGATGAGGGGAACTACAATGATGTCTAGACTTTTAAAAACTAAATTTTGTGGGTACATAGCAGATGCATATATTTGTGGGTATATGAGATCTTTTGATACAGGCATGCAATACATAATCACGTCAGGGTAAATGGGTGTTCATCACCTTGGGCATTTATGATTTCTTTGTGTTACAAGCGTTTCAATATTACCCTTTTAGTTATTAGTTTTTAATTAAAATAAAGATAGAATCTCACTATGTTGACCAGGCTGGATTCAAACTCCTGGCCTCAAGCAGTTCTCCCATCTCGGCCTCCCAAAATGCTGAGATTATAGGTGTGACCCACTGCATCTGACCCCATTTAGTTATTCTTAAATGTATCATAAATTTTTGTTGACTATAATCATCCTGTTATGCTATCAAATACTAGCTCTTATTGATTTATCTCACTATATTTTTGTACCCATTAAGCATCCCTACTTCCTCCTGCCCACCACTCTTCCCAGATTCTGGTAACCATCATTCTACTCTCTATTTCCATGAGTTCAATTGTTTTAATTTTTAGCTCCCACAAAGAAGTGAGAGCATGCCAAATTTGTCTTTCTGTGCCTGGCTTATTTCACTTAACGTAATGTCCTCCAGTTCCATCTATGTTGTTGCAAATGACAGAATCGCATTCTTTTTATGGCTGAAAAGTACTCCATTGAGTGTAAGTACCACATTTTGTTTATCCATTCATCTGTTGATGGACACTTAGGTTGCTTCCAAATCTTGGCTATTGTGACTAGAGCTACAATAAACAGATCTATAGAATTTTGACTTGAGCAACTGGATGGTTACTGAGATGGGGAAGGCTAAGGAAGGAGCAAGTTGGGGGAAATCAGGATTTCCATTTTGGATATGTAAGTAGGGAGTTGGAGTTCTGGACATGTGTGGAATTGGAGTTAGCATTCAGGTTTGGTTAATAAGTAGATACTGTGCTGTGCAGCAGATAACAAGCATAGATAAGAGACGTGAGCTTGGTGAGGAATGTGGTACTTTGGAGTGTCCAGGTAGAGAATACCAGGAGGTAATAGGGAATATGGATACAGGCTGTAGAGGGAGTCATTGCCTTAGAGATGGTAACTAATGCCCAGGCAGTAGTTGAGATTATCCAGGGTGGAACGCTTAGAGCCATGCTTCTTAACCCTGTCTGCATGATTTCATCATTTCAGACCCAACCCCAGAGATTTTGATTTAGTTGGTCTTGTGTGAGGTCAAGGCATCAGTATGTTTTTAAAGTTCCTTAGGTTGGCCAGGTGCGGTGATTGATGCCTATAATCCCAGCACTTTGGGAGGCTGAGGTGGTAGGATCGCTTGAGTCCAGAAGTTTGAAACCAACCTGAGCAACATAGCAAGGCACCATCTCTACCAAAAAAAAATTTTTTTTATTTGCCTGGATGTGGTGACATGCACCTGTGGTCCCAGCTACTTGCGGGGCTGAGGCGGGATGATCACTTGAGCCCACAAGTTCAAGGCTGCGATGAATTACGATTGTACCATTGCAGTCCAGCCTGGGTGACAGAGCAAGAACCTGTCAAATGAATAAATAAATAAATTATATATATACATACAACTCCCTAGGTGATTCTAGTGCATGCCCACAGTCGAGAACCTGTTGCTAGGCTATGTATTGGAAACACCTGGGGAGTTTTAACATTTGCTGAAGCCTTAGTCCCATGCCCAGAAATCTGACTGGGTTGCAGTCTGGGTTGCAGCCTGGACATAAGGTTTTTAGGAAGCACGTTTCTCCCCGTCTCTCCTCCCCAGTGATCTAATGTGCAGCCAAGACTAAGAATCCTCAACTGAGAGGACACAGTTGCAGAGTGCTGCAACAGAACACTGAGGACCCCCAGCCTAAGGGTCAGGCAAAAGCTAAGTCTCCTGAAGGAGATGAGGAAAAGATGGGGGAGGAAAACTAGAGGTTTTGTGGGGTAGTTTCAATTGGAAGGAGTCCAGTCAGCAGTGTGCGATGCTGCAGATAAGCACTTCTACCCGGGTGTGGTACCTTTCTTTCCTTTTTTTTCTCTACCAAAAGCAGATACTTGAGATGTGGTACTTTTTGAGGAGGCCGGGCACCCGTGAAGCAAAGTCCAGAACCTCGCGGATCTTTTGCTCAGTAGCAAAAACTCTTTCCACTGAGCTATTTGATGGGCTTAGATGGGCAAACCTGAATTGTCATCCTTAATAGAGCTACAGTGTCAAAGTTAGCTCAGGAGGCAGAATAAAAGGAGGGGTTGAAATCAGTAAGATGGCATGGCCAGTGAGAAACCCTTTGTGGCAAAGACACAGAAAAAACTTTTAAAAGCTGGGTGACTGATATGCAGTGGTAAGTTGTCAGTTATGAAATGTCTCTACGTAACTACTCCAGCAGCCTGTAAACCAGGTTATTCTGCTACATGCAATGGCCTGAATTTGGGAGTTGGGGGTGGGGTGTGCATCAAAGACCTAAAGGGTGAGAAGTTAACAGGGAGATGAGAGGTGGGTGGAGAGGGCATTTGACTTTCCCTGGGATACAAGATGGGAATTTGAGCCAATCCTATCTAATGGACAGAGACATCAGGTCTGTAGAGGAGAACAGCTCATTGGCTTTGGAGGTCACTGAACACAGAGTGGGAAGAATTTCATTATAGTAGGAGAAGCAGATCTCCATGGGCTAGAAAGTGAATAAAGGTGAAGAATTAAAGGCAGAAGATAGAACAGAAAATACTGTCAATCTTTAAGTGTACAAAATGTCTGCTCAGTCTCTGATCATTCTCTTGTATTTTAAAAGGTCTGCCTCTTACAGTCCCCATTTTTTTTTTCTTAAAGATGTATTTGTAATCTCTTACAGTAAGTCGTAAATAAATCTGGCTGCTGAATGAAGGAACCTCCTCCATTTTCCATTTGACATATACAAGCTAGATGTCTCTGCTTTGCATATCATCAAGACTGCTAATCTCATTAGACTGAGCACATTAAGACATTGGGAGGAGTGTTATTTGAACTGCAATGTATGATCCTGTATTTTTGGCTTTAGACCAACAGGGAATTATTTCTAATTGGACATACATATTTCACATAATTAAGCTTTTTTAAAATACGGTTTGTGGGAGCCAGACTGACATACTCTTAGAATCTTACTAAGAGGTTATTTTGAAATGTTATGCTTTCATTTTCCCGCCCCAACCTCCCAGTGTTTAAAGTAACGCATACTTAGAAAATAGAAAGGTTCGGGTGGGGGATAGAGGTAGGATCAGGAGACTCAAACACTACAATAAGGAACAGAGTAGAAAATGGAAATCCTGTGTGATTGGTCATGAAGTTAGGGTGAGGAACATCTGCTGCATAAAATATAAGAATTGGTTGTAAAAAATGATACTGCATTTGTACATGACCACTTCTGTAGTGGCTGTAGCAGAATATCCTGCTTAGTGCCTGTTTAGTGAAGGGCGGCCCTGTTGGCCACAGAGCATGGTGTGAGGAGACCTTGAGCCCAGTTTTTGGGTAAGACCAGGGGTTGGGGGCAGCAAATGGATCTGCTGTTAGGGGCGAAGCTGCTCTGGAAGCTCCCACTTGCTCCATGGGGTCTATACCTCAACCACAATACCACTTCCCGTGTCCCTCCTCCACAGTCAGTTTCCTTGGTTTGACCCCTGGAGCCAGGGCTCGCCATTGTACTGGTAACTTGGGGTCACTCCGAAATGGCAGACAACGTGTAAATGGAGGATACAGGTTAGAGGGTGATCAGGGATTTGGGGTGCTGCTAGGAGGGCAGTGGGGAGGTGAGGGTGGACTCTGGCCTTCCAGGCACTGTAGACAGACAACGGAGTGAGCGGCAGAGCCAGCCTGGAAGGGTGTGTATGGGTGGGAGCACAGCTCTGAAATGCTCTGCATAGTTTGCATTTTGCTTCTGGCAGAATGAACAATGGTTAGTAAAGTCCTGAACTCCCCAGGGGAAGCCTCCAGCCTAATTTCCCACCACCGCTACCACCTCTGTTTTGAGGTTTCAGGCACTGCCCTGTCTCAGAGGCACATTCGTGTCTAACTTTGGGAAATCCATAGCAAACCCTGCCACCTAGTGGCAGGCAGACTAACTTGGCAGGTGTGATGAGGTTGAAGAGATCTTAAAATTATCTCCTGCAATGGCAAAGATAGCTTTATTTGATTGACAACTATTTCAAATTCTCACAATTTACTAAGTGGTTCTTACTATCCCTATTTTATAATAAGGAAAGTGAGACTTAGAGGACTTGGCTGATACTTGCCTGAGGTTATGTAGCTTATCTGTGATTAAATGAGTTGAGTTTTAAAACAATTAGAACAGTTTCTCAAACTTTACAGAAGCTAGAAGCTCCTGGAGGGCTTGTTAAGACACTGATGACTGGGCCCCATCCCCAGTTTCTGATTAGGTGGGTCTGAGGTTCTTACTATCCCATTTTACAACAAGGAAAGTAAGACTTAGAGGACTTGGCTGATACTTGCCTGAGGTCAAGTAGCAAAAGTGTGATTAAGTGAGTTGAGTTTTAAAACAATTAGAACAGTTTCTCAAACTTTACAGAGTGCTAGAATCTCTTGGAGGGCTTGTTAAGACACTGATGACTGGGCCCCATTCCCAGAGTTTCTGATTAGGTAGGCCTGAGATGGGGCTGATAACCAGCATTTTAAAAATATACCTTATTTTAAATTGACAAATAATAATTATATGTATGTGATACTTTTTTTTATATATGTAAACATTGTGAAATGATTACATCAAACCAATTGACATATTCATCACCTTACCTACTTATCCTTTTTGGTGGTTAGAACATTTAACATCTACTTTTAGTAATTTTGAAATATAAAATCTCCTTTATTATTAGCCACTTCACTTCCTAACTGAAACTTTGCACCCTTTGACTAACAGCTCTTCTTCCTTCTCTCCTCCTCTCCTTCCCAAACCTCTGGTAACCACTTCTCTACTCTGTTTCTATGAGTTTGACCTTTGTAGGTCCCATGTGTAAGTGAGGTCATACACCATGTTTGTCTTTCCATGCCTGGGTTAGTTCACTAACCTGTATTGTTGACAAGTTCCCAAGTGATGCTGATGCTGCTGGCACACAGGTTACACTTTGAGTAGTGTTGGCCTGGAACAATGTCAGCACCAAATAAATGTCTGTTAGATAAAATTGATGGGTAAAAGCAGAGTCAAAATTGAACTCAGCCCTGTCCAACTCTAAAACTTGTTCTCTTTTTACAACATCATGCTGCCTCTCAGGCTTAGTAAAACTCCATACTTTGTCCCCTGCTGAATTTTGTTTCCTTCTTAGAAAATAAGATGGTTAGGAGTGGTGACTCACACCTGTAATCCTAGCACTTTGGGAGGCTGCTGAGGGCAGATCACTTGAGGCCAGGAGTTCAAGACCAGCATGAACAACATGGTGTTTAATAGACAGCCTGGCCATCTCTATTAAAAATACAAAAATTAGCCAGGTGTGGTGGTGCACACCTGTAGTTCCAGCAACTTGGGAGGCTGAGACAGGAGAATTACTTGAACCTGGGAGGTAGAGGTTGCAACAAGCCAAGATTGCAGCACTGCACTCCAGCCTGGGCAAAAGAACAGAGGACGGCGGGGCACAGTGGCTCACGCCTATAATCCCAGCACTTTGGGAGCCTAAGGTGGGCAGATCATGAGGTCAGGAGATTGAGACCATCCTGGCTGACACAGTGAAACTCCATCTCTACTAAAGATCAAAAAATTAGCTGACCACGGTGGTGCACACCTGTAGTCCCAGCTACTCAGGAGGCTGAGGCAGGAGAATCCCTTGAACCCAGGAGGCGGAAATTGTACTGAGCTGAGACTGCGCCACTGCACTAGTCAACAGAGCAAGACTCTGTTTCAAAAAAAAAAAAAGAAAAAGAAGATGGCTAGTTGGTGGTTGTTTTGAAATTACATCCAGTTTTGTGTGCTGGAGTGTTTATTGAAGGGCTGATTATGCGTCAGGACTTTCTTAGACTGTGGACAATACCATAGTGTGAAACACAGTTCCTGTCTTTCAAGAATTTTCACCTTGGCCTGGGAAGAGATGTCTTGCAAGTTTGAAAAGATCACCTCAATACAGGACCTTGGAAAAGTTACAGGCAGTGTGATAACTAGGTCAAGCAGAGCTGGATCACTGAGGGCTGTGGCACTGCAGAAGGTTCATGTGGGGAAGGCATGGGCTGGCATCCTGGAGAATGAGTAAGATTTCGGTAAATGGAGCAAGGGGAGACCATCCAGGTAGGGTAAGGAAAGAACAGTGTTATAAGAATAAAGGGGGCAGGAAGGACACACATGTTAGTGAAGGAACTTCTATGTATCAGACATGGAGGTTGCATTTCCTAACCTGTCTCATTGATTCCTCAGAACAGCCTTATGAGGCAGGTAATACTGTCCTCATGTTACAAATAAGGAAATGGAAGTTCAGAGCAGTCAGGTAAGCTGCCTATGGTCACAAAGCTAGCAAGTGTAAAGCTCCGATTCAAACCCAGGTTAGGCTCCTACCTTTCCTTTTTCCACTGCAAGATGTGGCTCAGGTGTGGAGGAGGCTGGGCCAGGACTAGGGTGAGGCTAACCGTCAGGCACCAGCAGGTGTAGGGGTGCCCCTGAGATGGAGTTCTCCTTCAGTTTTGGGGCCTCAGCGTGACCCTGGTAGGGAGAGCAGTGAGAAAAGCAGGTTGAGGTTAGCTGCTAGCAAGCTGTGAGTACCAGGATGAGGAGTTTAGACTTTATTTCACAAGTGACAAGGAGCCATGAAGTTTTTGGAGCAAGGAACTGATTTGATCAGAGCACTTACCGTGGACAAAGTGGAAACTCATTAGGAGCATCTCACAGTTGTCTGGAGGGAGATAATTAATCAGAATCTGGACTAGAAGAGTCCAGAAAAAAGAAAGAACTGATGCCAGCCACTTCCTTTATGAACCTTCAGAATTTGGTGCTAGGATACCAGGCAGAGGGACAGTCTTGGTAGCCTGGAGAATTGTGAGGCCTTTCCTATAAATATGCACAGGTGTTGAAAGAGCTGACTGCTGGCAGCGGAGAGAGAAGGAAAAGCCAGACTTAATTACATTGCACTCCAAGTGGTGGGCACGGGATAGCCAAGTTGTCCTGGCAGAGGAAGTTGACAGAGAAAAATGGTTTTGGAGTCTTCTGCAAAAAGGGGAAGTGACTGAAGTCCTGGATGCTGGCCTTGATCATTCTTTTGGGGTTCTTAATAGGACTCTTCCACATGCCCAGCTTTGTGGGTTTACTTAGCTATGTTCCCCAAAGCCTGGCAGACCCCTTGCTTGGTTGCCTGACCCATCCTTACCCTTTCTCCTCAGCCTTCCCTTGGACCAGACGCTTCCTCGCCAGGGTCCTGGCCAATCCCTGTCCTTCCCAGAAAACTACCAGACTCTTCCCAGGAGCACCCGACACCCATCAGGGAGCTCCTCACCACCTCCCCGAAACCTGCCAAGTGACTACAAGTATGCGCAGGACCGAGCCAGCCACCTGAAGATGTCGAGTGAAGAGCGCCGGGCACACCGGGATGGCACTGTGTGGCAGCTCTATGAGTGGCAGCAGCGCCAGCAATTCCGGCATGGCAGCCCCACAGCGCCCATCTGCCTCGGCTCCCCAGAGTTCACCGACCAGGGCCGAAGCAGGAGCATGCTAGAGGTGCCCCGCTCCATCTCTGTGCCTCCATCTCCCTCAGACATCCCTCCCCCGGGACCCCCGAGGGTCTTCCCACCCCGGCGGCCACACACGCCAGCAGAGAGGGTCACGGTGAAGCCACCAGACCAGAGGAGGAGTGTGGACATCTCACTGGGGGATTCTCCCAGGAAGGCACGGGGCCACACTGTCAAGGTGAGACTCGGGAAGCTCTGCCAGGCTGCTGGTTCAGCGTGAGGGTGCCAGGAGCCTTGCCTGGTTTGAACACAAATTTGAATAATTTGGGATAATGATAGCTAACACTTAGGCCATACTTTTTAATAATAGATGCCAGGTGCAGTTCCCAAAGGCTTCATTTTAAATTCTCACCACAATCCTGCGAGGTAGTTGCTATGCTTATGCCCATTTTAAAGATGAGAAGTCTGAGGCATTGAGAGACAGAGTAACTTCCTCGGGGTCATACAACTACAGGTCAGCTTCCTTGCAGCTGGGAAGGCAGGAAAAGACATCTGTGTTCAGTCAGTTCAATAATTTATAACAACCCAGCTTAAGTTTACACATTCCAAGGGGTATTCACAGTTTAGTGTTCTAACCCAGAGGGTAAGATGTGTATGCTCATTTCACAGATGAGGAGTTGGGGGCTCAGAGGGGAAGTGGCATGGGGCGGGTTGCCCTGGGAGTGAGTGGCAGAGGTTTGGACTCCAGTGTGACTTCTTGTCTCCCCACTTGCAGAACTCATCTCACGTGGACCGACGTTCCATGCCCTCCATGGGTTACATGACCCACACTGTCAGTGCTCCCAGTTTACATGGAAAATCGGTAAGGTGGATGACAAGACACAGCCTGCAAACCTGTATCTCATCAATGTTTTCCTTTCTCTGAGTCAGTACAATGCAGTCCAGAGGGCAGTTATCAACCTCCATCTTAGAGATGAGGAAACTGAGGCTCAGAGAAGTCAAATGACTTGCTTAGGGTCACCTGGCTGTCACTGGGTCCTCCCCAGAGGTGGGAAGAGCTTGTGGGGGAAGTATAGGGGAATGTTAGGCTTATCTCCTCTTTCGAGTTGAATTTTGCCAGAAACATTTTCCAGCTACTCACCTTTTTTCCCCCATAGGTAGTGCCTCTCCTTTCTTCCCTGATCTTTGATCAGTTAACTAGTTAACTCTGTCTTCTAAGCTCGAGTCTAAGACCAGGCATGGTGGTTCATATCTGTAATCCTAGCACTTTGGGAGGCCAAGGTGCGTGGATCACTTAAGGCCTGGAGTTCGAGACCAGCCTGGCCAACATGCCAAAACCCAGCCTCTACTAAAATACAAAAAGTAGCTGAGCATGGTGGTATACACCTGTGATCCTAGTTATTTGAGAGACTGAGACACAAGAACCTAGGAGGCGGAGGTTGCAGTGAGCCAAGATCACACTGCGGCACTCCAGCCTGGGCGACACAGCAAGACTATCTCAAGGAAGAAGCGGAAGAAGAAAAAACAGCTTGAGTCTGGGTGAGGTTTGAGGTTGCACTGTTGGTTGTCGCTTTCCTGTAAAATCAACTTCCTGCAGCCCCTTTGCTGCCAGTCCCTTTATTTGTCCCAATGACAGGATTAAAGATGAGAACTCTGAGGCATTGAGAGACAGTAATTGCGTAATGGAGTCACATCAGTGCTGTCCTGGCATTGGCACTGGGGTGAAGAGCATAATTCTAGTGGCGTGCTCCTGTGGTGCTGACTTGCTTGTGCTGTGTCTACACACCTGCAGCTGGAGGAGCTCTCGTTCCTTCTCACCCGGTTAAGGCAGCACCAGGCCAAGTTGGCCAGTGTGCGAAATTTCGCCATCGGCCAGTTACTGCAGCACCAGCTGACCTTTCCTACCTGCCAGGTCAGCGCTGGTGGGCTCTCTCAGGGCTGGGGGCAGGGAGTGACATGCTGGCTCGTGTTCGCTCGTGCCCTTGCTCTGGTCTGTCTCTGCTGTCTGGCTCTTCCTTGTTCGCTGGCTGTTTGCTTCTGGATGCTACTGCCAGACACTGTATGTTGGTGGAGGCCAAGCCTACCCTCTAGTGCTGGGGAGGGGGTTGCTGCATGTGGCGTAGGGACCTAAACTGTCGCTTCTCTGGTATAAGTAGTGACTGCCAGACTGATGTGTGGTCAAGTTCAAAGGGCTGTGCTGGCTGACAGCCTTGTTGCCCCATGGCTACTCCTTGGGATGTGGAAAGGCATGTGTGCGTCAGCCTGGAGGGAGGATGCAGGGCACCCTCTCTTATGTGGACAGTGCCCTGCTGCCTCACAGAGCATCTTCTCATCTCATATCCTGCTGAGCCTCACAGTAAGCTGGAAGAGGTTAGGGAGGACAGGAGTCAGGACCACACACAGGCAAGAGGAACCAGAAGGGGAAGTGATTTGCTCAGGATCCCTCAGCAAGGAGCATGCAGGCTGCAGCCAAAATCCAAGCCTGCAAGACACAATGTTCTAAACTGTTGCAAGGACATTGGGCTTTGCAGGCAAGCTTCTCAAGGACTGGCTAGGGGGTTGCCCTCCCCAGTATCTTAAGCAGGAGGATTGAAGAAGAGGATTCCTCCCTGGGGTTGTCCTCAGGCAGGAAAAAGTTCGGTCATATGAGGCTGGTCCTCCAGGCTGTACAGAAGTAGGCAAAGGACAGATGAGGAGGGTGGCAGGACTGTTACCTTCCTTCCTTGTTCTGTTTTAGTGAATTATGAGGGATTTAGGAAATATATTCAGAAAAATGAACGTCAGTACAAACACTATTAGTTGTGAATCTAAGTGATCTTTAATAACCTTCTTCTGCTCTGCCCTTATTCCTATGGCAAGTGTGTAGGGACTGAGCTGTTTGGGAAGTATGGATGGGTAAGGGGTTAGTATGGGCACATAAATAAGACCTTGTAAGTCACTAGTGCCCCTGACAGTTGTCCTTCTAGCATTCCCATGCATAAGAGCACTGCATGAACTCTTCGTGTGGTTCGTCTGTGTGACTGTCTTACCTCAGAGCTATAAGCAAGGGCCACCTGCCCTGACTTGCCTGGCTGGGACCCTCTTAGTCTGCTGAGAAGCTGGTGCCTGGATTATTTTTCTTGAGCTTTCACAACTCCTCTGCCTCACAGTTAGGTTCTGTGATCTGCTACACAGGAAGGCATGAGTTTTAGGAAATCAAAGAGTCTTTTTTCTTTTTTTTCACCGTTTCTGGCAATTATACTGAAGAACTTGACAGATAGGTCTGATCTTGTACCTGCCTCAAGTAGCTCCTGACATGGCCACATTGGCTCCATGCTGAGCAAAAAGAACCAAAACTAGCAGGAAACTTCGAGCAGCTGCTGGTGGTTATCATTCTGGAAACCAAGGTTATATTGGGACCTCCTGGGTCACCCAGGCCATCTCCCTGCCTCTTCCAGGCATTCATTCACACCATTGAGTGTCATCTTACTTCATGCATGTGAAGTGACCCAGACCAAAGGTTAGATGGATGGAATTAGAGCACTGATGACTGGTGCATTCTAGCACAGGTGTGGCATGTACTCATCCAGGTAGACCTCCCACGTCTATCTTAGGAGCACAGCACTGCCTCAGCTGCCCTAGCCCTGGAGTAGGATCCTCCCTGCCAAATTCTTCCCCGAGCCAGTGGGGAACTAGCTGAAAATCCGCCATGATCCAGTGATGCACCCACAAGTTTCGCCATACTGAAAGAGGGCTCTCAGCTGCACTGAGACATTTGTGCTTCCTCTGTGGCCCCTGATGTGTTGGTCTGCTGTGGTTCCTTGTTCCCAAAGCTGCACAATGTAAATTAATTCACATGCGAAACCTTGAGTTATGGAAACTCTTGGTGTTCGTAATTGTTTTCTTTTTCCCCTCTTTACTTCATTTGAAGGCTGATGATACCTACCTCCAGCTGAAGAAAGACCTGGAGTACCTGGATCTAAAGGTGAGTGATGTCAGAGGTCCTGCCTTCCTCACATACTCACCTTTCTGAGAGTGTCACCTCACTGGAGCCAAGCCCAAAGACAAAGGACACATGGGTCTTATCCAATCCGAATTCTAAATCAGGACGTCTCCCGTCTTGAATCAGAAGAATTTTATTTCTTACAGGCTCAAATCTGCCTCTCTTCAGTTTCTTATGAATTTTGTTGTGAGGTCCCTGGCTTATAGAATGTGAGTGTAAGACCTTGATCTCTTCCTTCCCCTGGTCAAAACCAAAAGATCTCTGCAAAAGCAACAGTCGCTGCTTCAGAGTCTCCAGTGGGGGCAGGGGTGTGTGTTTGGTTCACTAATGTACATTTTCAGCCACAAGTGGTGTGGTGGGTTCTTTGGTTCTGTTGCTAGGAGAGCAGGCTTCACGTGGAATCACATGGCTTTAAGGCTCACTGGTAGTCTCCCATCTCGATTTAGGAGATGAAGGCTGGGCCCCTCCCTGTAGTTGATAAGGCTTCAGGCTCTAAATTTGCTTTCCCAGCACAGAGAGAGCCAAGAAAGCTCCTGTAGAGAAGGCAAGAGGCATTCTGCCTAGAAGAGAGCGCTATTGTTCCCTTCCCACAGCTCTCTGAAAGCTCCCACTGTGAAAAGCACTTCTTACGCCTGAGCCATGAAATAGACTGGAGGAATGTGACCTTTAGTCAGCTGTGGGTCTGAAAAGGTGGGCGAGGGGCCATGGGACACTCAGGCAACTGCCACGGAGTGGGGGCAGCGTGTCTCCCCACAGTCCCCAGTGTACCTGGCTTGGTATATTTTTAACTTGGGGATCTTCATCCAGCCTCATAGAAGCTGCTGTATGAACATCAGGTCCTAAGGAAGCAGATGGAAAGGGGGTCTCCTCACAATGAGGGAAGATCAAGGCCTTTGATTAGAAATCAACCAGTGCAGTTCTGGTCTGTCAATCACTTGCTGTGTACCCAGAAGACATGGGGAGATGCAGAAGAAAAATTGAGTCTGTCTGGTCTTGAGAAACTTCTGGATAGTCTGGGTTAGTGAAAGAAATTATCCCCAAATAACAGACTGCTCCACAATGACTGTACAAAAATCTGTTAGGCCTGGTTCTCAGAGCTGAGATGGTGAGAATCACTATGGATTCTAACACTGGGGAGGCTCCTAGGAGGAGGTGGCATGTGTTTGGAGCCTTGAAAAGCCAGCGTGCTGGGGTTGGTTGAGATTAAAAAGGGAAGGAACAGCAAGAGCCAAGGAGAGCCAGGGCATGGTGGCCGTGGCCAGGGCAGCAGAGGGGAGGTGGTAGCTGGTCATGTAGGCCTTTGACTCTATCCTAGGCATTAGGAAGGAAGGTGGGTGCTGTGAGCAAAAAGACCTGGCTTTAGCATGTGAGGAGAACAAGGAGCTTTCTCTCAAGGCCAGGAGGTTTTCCAACTCACATGACAGGTCACACAGAACTGCAGTGACTGCTCTAAGTGTGGTAGTAATTCCTCCGGATTCAAAATGCTCAAGCATAGCTGTGTGGACCAAACGTGGCAGCCTGCGGGGTCAGGCAGGGTCCTTCCTACCATGCCTGTGGAGAGAGATCTGCCTGTCCCCAGCCTTCACCTGCCCTGCGCAGCACCGCATCCCCGTTCATCAGCCTCCCTGACAGTCAGCAGCTGCCTGCACAGTTCTTCTCACTCCTGACCCAGGGCCCAAAGGTCCACTCAGACATACCTCTACAGCGTCCGTAGTGCACCTGGGCTTGTGGGAGAGGCTTGGCACGCCAGCAGCACAGGTGACTATAAAACACAGGTATGCCAGAGTGTTGAGTGTATGGGACCAGAGAGTACTAGATGCGCCTGAGCAAGAGCAGTAGGAAATAGCTGCCTTCTGGTTCCTCTTTGTATGTGATCGTGGAAACTCACAGTTGATCCTGGAGTGATGCTCTGCCTCAGGTTTGTTTTATTTCAGGATCGTAGAATTTGAGCTATGAGGGATTAAAGAGGGAGAAACTGAGCCACAGAATGGCACAGCAGAACAAGGAGTCCCTGCATGTCCTGATTCAAAAAGAAGCTTAATAACAATAGGTGGTATAATGTGTGCCAGTCACTGCATTTTACTTCTATTAAAGTATTTTACCTCCAAAGACGGTGGTATCATCTATTAATGGACTGTGACTCAGAAAGGCTAACGAGTTTCCCAGTCCTACACCGCAGTTAGTGGGTATCAATATTTGGGTGTGGCTCTAACCCTAAAGCCGTTCATCACCTTGCCCCACATCCTCTCTTAAAATGGTGCTTCACCACTGTGGACCCAAAGGCATTATGTTTTTTTGGAGCTGAGCTTGGATTGTTATGCCAAGAAATATATTTGATGGGATAGAGAGAGGCAAATTGCAGTCTTGGTGTGTTCTACTGCCTAATAGCTGTACCTGATCAGAACATTATCTTGTTATTGGACTTTCTGGAGGTTGTCATTGTTTGTCATGGAAAACAACTGTGTTGATACCCATATTCCCCTGGTCTTGTAGCTGCTTCCACAGTTGCTAAGCTCCTCTCTCAGAACCAGTCCCCCAGCTGAGCTGCATCAGCACCCTGGAGAGGTTTGGCTCACCAGCAACACATGCGAGAAGCATGCTGGGTTTTGTGCCCAATGTGTGTCATCGGTCTGACGTGGCTGCCAGAAAGGCTGGCATCCCCCCACCCCCGCCGCCACTGGTTTCCCTCAGAGGGGCAGGGGCCCAGATCAGGAGGCAATAGGCCTGCTCTGCCCTGCTCAGACCCAGCTTGGGTTTAGGGTTCCAAGATGAGAGTCCCCCCAGATGAAGGAAGGGCTGGGATCAAGGGAGAGGTATTGAGGGCTTGCAAAACCATGGCTGGGTGTGCTCAGCGGGATGCTTTTGTTTGGAAGTATCCAAGAGCCAAAGCCACCTGCTAAGTCAAAAAGGGAATATACTAATTCATGTAGCAGGGGCCACATTCCAGGGGATTGGCTACATTGTCACTGTTCTACTTTCCTTGCGTGTCAGCCTTCTTCTTTCCTGTGGAACAAGGGGTTGCCTCCACATGGGCAGAGAAGGTGGCTGCCTGCAAGCCCAGATTCACTTCTTCCCTACTCAGTATTCCATGGAGTGAGGGAGGAGTTTCCTAATGGAACATGCTGGGCAGAGAAAGGAAGCACAACAGCAGCCGGTACAGCTACAGTGCGGAACGATTGAAGGAGTTAGGGGCGATTCAGGAGAGGCATAGAGACAGCCTATAAAACTCTGCTGTGTCTTCACGTGTTTTCTGCGGCCTTAAGGAGGAATTAAGACATGTGGATGGTAGCTACAAATAGACAGGTTTCAGTTTAGTAGAAGAAAGACTTTTCTAAAAGGGCCACCTCAGGTGGTGGTGAACTTCCTGTCACTGGGGTACAGCTGAGGCTCAATGAAGCTGAGTAGGATGGATGGTTGGATTAGGAAAACCCCAAAGCTCATTGGTCCTTAGATACTATGACACGCTGGACAAAATGTCCCATACTCAAGGGTCTCTGGTTGAATAGGCCTGTAGACCACTCTGGGCATGGAAATCGAGATAAACACAGCCCCTCTGGGACCAGCTGCTTATGAGGGATCCCCTCTGGCTCCTTGGAGAGGGGTGAGGTAGAGAGATAAGCCTCTCTGGAGAGGAGTCTCTCTGCCTGGCATCTGATCTGTGACCTCTCCCCTCCCCAAGCCATGTTGACTTAGGGTCCCCCATGTCCCTGTCCAAGAGGCCAAAGACTTAGAAATCCAGAACCCATCTTCCCCTGCCCCCTCATCAGCTGATGCTCAGCTTCCAGAATCAGTCGGGGTGCTTGTCTGCCGGCATTGTGAAGCTTTCCCTTCCTGAAGTGAGCGTTTCTGCTGGGCTGCCAAGTGGTCAAACAACAGCACACTCTGCTCTTGGAAGATGCTTACATCAGTGTGCTTTTTTGGAAACATTTACTTTGCTGGTATTTTACTTGATGGTGCCAGGGTGAAAAGGACTCCACATTGATTAAGCATCTGTTCCTGCCTGGCAGTTTTTGGGCAGTTGATGTTCATTTATCTCATTTAATCCTCTCAGCAACCTTGAGCTATATGAATTGTTATCCATATTTTATCACCAGGAACCCAGGTGTCAGAGACGTTAAGTAACTTCTGTAAAGTTACACTACTGGGACTTGAACACAGCGACTGGCTTCGTACCTGCCTTCTTTCTTCTGTGCATCTCATGCTTTGCCCACTGTAAAGTCATGTTTGTTGAATTGTATTCCTGGCATTGCAGTTCTGCTCTTCAGAACCCTATACCTTAGCTGGGTCAGAAGGGTGGGGTGTGGGGTTCACTGTTGTTGACAATGTAAGTTGTCTTTATGCTGCTATGAAGCACAGCCAGGAAGGTGAGGGTACCTGCTGCCACTCACGTGAAGCCTTTGTAGATAGAAATGGTTGCAGTCAGCCCCAAAAAGGCTTTTGTCTTCCGTGAGGGATGGGCCATCAGTGGCTCCAAGGCTGTTGGACTCTGGACTCTTCCTGACTGTTTGAATCTGAGATCAGGACTTTTCTGTTCTGGATCTGTTTCCAAAATTGGCTTCTGGGACAGTTTTTAAAGTTGTGATTGGGTATGCCACATACTTCAGAATCAACTGGGGGCTTGATAAAAACACAGATCTGGAGGGTTCTATCACATTAGATACTCTGCTGCTCAGAATTCTGCATGTTTTTCAAGCTCTAGACTGATTATTGTGTGCATTAGGGTTTGAGGTCTATTGTTCTGAAGAAGAAATTATTAACCTTGGCTATGAATGAGAACTATTGGGAAACTTTAAAAATGAATATAAAGGTCTTGGTCCTACCGCTTAGAGACTGTGATTTAATTGGTAATACTCTTAAATTAAAATTAAAAAAAAAAAAAAACAAAAACACTCCTTAGAAACACCTAATGTACATCCAAGGTCAAGGTTAAGAAACATTATTTTGAAGTAGTGGCTTTCAAAATGTGATCCTCAGACTGAAAGTGTCAATAATACCTGGACATTCATTAGAAATGCAAAATCTTGGGTTCCACCTCAGATCTGCACCATGAGAAACCTCCAGGGACAGGGCCCAGCCAATCTGTATTTGCCTTCCAGCTGATCCGATGCATGCTAAAGTTAGAGAACCCCTGTTTTAGGGCAGTGATTCTCAATCCTGGCTGCACATTAGAATCACCCAGGAGAGTGTTTAAGAATCCCAGTGTCCAGGGCCCATCCCAGACCAATTATTTCAGAATCTCTTGGGGCAGGACTCAGGCATTGGTGTTTTTTAAAGCTCTCTCAGTGATTCCAGTGTTCTAGATAAGGAGAACAGTGTTCCCAAAAAGGAGCTGTAAGCTTTGGGACCACGGGTAAGACATAAGTGTGTAGATGCATCACAGTTATGGTGGAACTTAGGGTTGGGTGGGGGTGAGAGGAATGCATGGCACTATTCTAAACTAGTATCTTACAGAATGTGATGGGGGAGGACAAAGGAAGAAGCAAGTTCCCTTCTATGATGTTCCTCCTTGCCTTCTGCAGCAGAACCAGGAAGGAAATGATTACTGAAATTGGCACTCCCACATAAACCAGCCTGTGCACAGATCCCTTCAGACAGCATATAACTTATAAAAAGGAGAGACCTGCAGTCTAGGAAGACCCTGTGGCCCATGGGAATAACATCCACAGGCCCATGGAAGTAGCATCACCAAGATTCAGACCTGGTTGTTTGAATTGCACAGCACACAGCCTCCCTAAAATTTTCCCTTTGCCAGTTCCCCAAATTCTGGCTGCTTCAAGTGTCATTTGATGTCTCACCTGTTGCGTTTTGTTGTATTTGCCTTTTTGTTTGGAACAGATTAAAAATAATGAACCTTTGATCAACGTGCTTTACAAAGTGCTGAAGAAGTCAGCACGGGGCTGTCGGCCCAGGAGAAGCGTAAGATGATCTGATCCGTGTCTCCGAGCGGGGTCATTCCATTGCTTCTGGCTCCGTGCCGACTTCATCACTTGCTTAACCAGTTGCTCTCCCGACTGCCCCAGGCTTCCCGCAAGTCATTTTGGTTTATTTTCTTTCAACTGAAGCTCTTTTCAGCATTTTGGCTGATGCACCAAGCTGAGCCTCTCATCTGTGGTTTTCTGTGACTCCATGTTTTGTGCTGTCAAGGGTGGGGGAGCTTGCCTGGCTTGCTACCAGCTTATGTTGTGTTTCCATCGTCACGTGTCTGCCTCCATGGCGAGGGCTCACCCAGACAGAGTTGAGCATGAGTTTCTTGGGAGGGAACAGCAGTTACTGGTCACCTTCCAAGAGCCAGGGTATCCTCAGATTCCATGGTGGCCCTGAGATTAAGGTGGCACTTTTTGAGGGCAGGGAGTTGGCATTTAGATAACAGCTTGAAGCTGGACTAGAATAAAATGCCACCCCCTGCCCATACCCTCTTTAACTGATGCAGAAGTAGGGACTGCAGTGTGGCCAGCTCTCGTAGCATTCCAGGGGAGGCTGCAGATCAGGAAGCAGGTGTTGTGTCCAACCATCCTGAGCCCTGAGAAAGTGGGTTGGGATGTGGTGGAGGGGAGGGAAGATGCCAGGGTGGACTTTGATTCCCCTCTATGAAGAGACTCTTTCACGTGGATGAGTACCCATAGCCTTTCTTTTTCTGATGACGGGGATGCTGGGGGAATCCAGAGTTGATGTTTTAAGTGTATTTAAACATTGCTCTCACAAACACACTTTTAAAAGAAAAATTAGATTTAATATGGTACATGTGGATATGCTATTTCTTAGTAGCCTCTGCTCTCTTGAGCAGAGCCAAATTCAGAAGCTTAAAGGTCTTCTGAGCTGTAGGAGCAGCTCTCAGGAAGCCCATGCTCTAAAGCCTGTGACTTTCCATCCACAGGAGGCAGAGACAGCTCATGTTACTTTGACACATTCATGAACTTCCTAAGTAAACATTGCCCGACTATCTTCAATATGCTAGGCCCTGGCCAGGCTTTGAGGATACAAAGGAAAGGGATTGGTCTCTATAGTCACCCCTAATTAGGTGACTCTGTAGTAAGGAGAGACAAATGAGCAAAAAGAACATTGTACTCTGATGTGCTGAGTACTGTAGTAGCGGCAGATGCAACGTGTGGGAAGAGCACCCTGAAGGGCACCACCCCCAGTTAAAGGGAGAGAAGAGATGTAAGTACCTCGTCTCTGTCATGCTTATAGTCCTTTGATTTCCTGACCTACAACACCAAATAAGCAGCACTTTAAAAAGGGACAAGAGAAATCTACTTCTCAGAAAAAGAGGTAGAACTAATATCCTGAGAGGGAGAAAAAAGGTTGAATGTATATTCAGTATTCTACGAAGGCAGCAAAGGGCATACTTTTAGAAAACTTTCCATCAAAAAGTGTAATTTAGAAGATTCAGTTTCTTCTCAAAACGCCCCTTTTATATAAAAGTATATTCTCATTCTTTTCTTGATGGTGCTAGATAAATGAGGCATTGCTTAATTAGATTTTCTGCCTTGTTATTTAAGTATCAAAAAGATATCCTCTGTAAAAAGCTTCAGTGAAATAAGGGGAAGAGTTTTGCTGGGGGAAGAATCCCCAAAGTGTGTCTCCATTTGAAAATGATTTCTGCCTAGGAAATGAGCCCCAAAGGTCAGCTCCTTCGGAGAATACAGTCTCCTTGTCCTTGGGTTTGATGAAAGCACGATGACGCAGAGAGAAGACTTCACTGCTTTCACCTGCTTTTTCTCCTGGGTTCCCCTGAGTTTAAAACCCACATTCTGCCTGAGAAGTTCAGCTGTTTGTGATTTACCAGGATTAATTTCATGCCTACCCAGCCCCCACCCCCGTTGCAGGAGACAGCACAGCCTGTTTGTTTGTGGATCGTTGCAGTCTGGTGTTCTGCAGCTGCGTGTGTATGTGTATGTACACATAATCTGCCAGTCTGAAGAGCAGAATTTGGCTGGAGTTCTGTTTTCTCCAGGAACTCGACAACACTGACCTACATGTGTTTCCCTTTGACCTACATGCAATTCAATAAGCATTTGCTGAGTTTGTGCCAGGTCTTCTGTTCAGGGCTGACTTACCAAGATACAGAAAATAATGGTCCCGCCCTCCTCTGTACGACCAAAGGAATCATGGGAATGGGTGGGGCAGGTGTGTAGCCCAGAATCAGTCCTCACCCCAAGGTAGGGAGAGGTCCTCTCCCTTGACCTTTGGATTTGCTCATGATAATTTGCAGGGAGAAGCAGCATAGGACAGGTGGGCACATGAAGTGCTTGAGCACTGACGGGAATGTTTGCCAATTTATTTCCACCCCCACCTCACACTGACAAACTTCCCGGACCTTACAGATGGAATGGGGAGAAATCCACAGCCCTCTCTCCAGCAGCTATCTGTCCACAACTCCCTGCATAGCGCACACACCACCTGTCTCTGCCACTGTTAGCTCCACCCTCCATTTCCCTGGTCAGATCTGCAAAATAGAGCTCAGTGAGGTGGCTTCCCCTATACCAGGCACATTAGACTTGGCTCTCCCTGGCCTCGTTTTGTCCATGGGATGGTGCATCTGTGAAAGTCACTCCCCTCAGCCCCTGCATGACTTTTGGCAAGAAAGAGACTAGGGGAAATGGAAAAATGGGATAAGTTAGATTTAGATTCTCAACAGTCGGTGGGATACAGGCAGCATATTGCCTAATTTGAGTCAAGTGAGGGACAGGAAATGTGAAATCCCATTGGCCCACAAGTGTGGGTGACTTTTATGTATTGCTCTGTGGTTTTCTTTCTTGTAATTTATACAAGTACAGCCTAGCCTCAGTTATTCAGGAAAAAATTTAAAAAACCCACTGGGAACTTGCCAGGTTCCTTTTTTCCTTGGCCAGTTCTTCTTCCCAAATGACACAGGGTGAGGAAGGCTGGCCTTACCCATGGGGGAGTGGGCTGCTCAGAGACTCCCTTAAGCTAAGGCTTGACAATGGTGAAGGGATTTGTTTGTTCCTCTGGGTCCGCCCATCTCACCACTCTGGGCAGGACGTGATGGGCTTCTGTAACTTGTGTTTGTTCCCAGGTTCAGTAGCACACCTCTGTCTTATCAGAGGCAAATCTTCCAAGATTCATGCTGGTTTTTCACGTTCATTTTAGGCAAATACATACTTTTAAAATTGATGATCCTATAACTTGAACATCTACATTTTCTTTAATTCAGAGGACTTACCAGTGTTATACTAGAATCATGAAAAGGTTTTGGTTTTTTCCTAAAATGAAATAGGCGTAGAAATAGAGCAAGTATGGCCCAAGTTTTTGCCCCTGTCCTGCTGTGACCCTACCTGCCACTGCCAAGGGCTTCCACACCATCCGTTGTAGGATGAATTTTCTTTCCTGAGTTCTGATCTCAAACACCATGGTTAAATCTCTTTTAAATTGTTCACCTCCCAGATGACAGGCCGGGACCTTCTTAAGGATCGAAGTCTGAAGCCTGTGAAGATCGCGGAGAGCGACATTGATGTGAGTGAACAGAGTGACATGCTGATCCCTCAGCTGCCTCCTGACCCAACCAGACCCAGGGCGAACAGCTTCAGGCAGGGCTTGGATGGTTCTGTAGCCAAAGGCTACCCGATCACAATTTCAAGGTCATGTCCTTTTCTCATCATCCCAGGCCCTCTCCCACCCTGTTCTTGCTTTTAGGTCAAACTGAGCATTTTCTGCGAACAAGACAGGATCCTCCAGGACTTGGAAGACAAGATACGAGCCCTTAAGGAGAACAAAGTACGTGTCAGTTTTGAATAACCTTGGGATAAGTAGAGGGGCATTTTGTCCTGTCTTTCTTGAGACATACACTGTACCATTATGTTAGTACTGAACAACAGATGTTAGCCTATTTAAAAAGAAAATGCCCTTGTGTTTAAATGGTGTTTCTTAGGAGTTTCTATCTTATAGAGACCCTCCTGCCTCCATTCTGCTTTGGCCCACCTCTCCCTGGAAGCCCTGTGAGGTGAACCTGGAAGAGAAACTCCACTGGCTTATATGTGATGCCCCCAGGTCCTTGAACCCCAGGGAAGCAGGGTTCCTTTGGATAAAGTGGCTGCAGTCATTACAGGGCAGAGTCCTTTGCTTCCTAAAGTGCCTTGTCTCCTAGGCTCTGGACTATGGAGGCAGCAAGTCTGGCTAGGAGTGTAGGAATGGGCCACCAACATTTGGTCTTTTCTATTCTTAAAGTAGTTTTTTTCCTTTTGCATTTTAAAAAGACATGATAATTGTGATGCTGAAAGTTGAGAATATACTCTTTTCCTTAGGAGGTTAGAGAGGCTTTTTTAAAAAAAAATTCTTTGTTTTATCCTCTTAGTTTATCCCATAAGGAGTTAGACAGCTGTATCCCCAGTGTATAGATGACGAAATTGAGGTCACAGAGCTGTTAGGTACTTTTCCCTAGACAGAGTCAGAGCTGGCATCAGAGTCCCTGACTGTGGGCCCACAGCTCAGCGCTGGTCCCTTCAGCCTTGGTTAGGTCCAGTAGCTTTGCTTCCTGGTGTGGTATGGGGAGATCTCTGGGGACTGTCCTATCCTGTTTTTCTTTGACCCTTCCTGGTGTAGGACCAGCTAGAATCCGTGCTGGAGGTATTGCACAGACAGATGGAGCAGTACCGAGACCAGCCCCAGCATTTGGAGAAGATTGCCTACCAGCAAAAGTTGCTGCAGGAAGACCTGGTCCATATCCGAGCTGAGCTCTCCAGAGAGTCCACTGTGCGTAGAGGGTGGCAGACCCATCTTCCTCGGGACGGGCTGGGCGAGGGGCTGCTTTTCCCACCTCCCAAGATGTAGTTGAGTTGGTGTCCAGAGATAAGAGTCCTGAAATAGCAGAGCTTCCCCAGTAGCAGAACTTCCTGCTGACAGTAGATGACCTTGTCTGGGGGTGACATGTCTGCCTGCATGTGTGCCATAGGCTGCTTACCACAGCGACTCTTGAAGGCCAGTGACATCCAGTGGGCCAGATTCCTTCCCTGCAAGGCTGTTCCCTGATCTGTGTGCAGTTGATTCTAAGATGTCAGAATTTCTGCTTTTTCACTTGTCAGTTTGTTGTGGTACAGTCCAGGGCTGAGAAAGCATCCTGAGGGTGGAAGAGAGGACTGTGCAGGTGGCCAGGGTCAGAGCACAAATGAGAGGATGCCATGATTCTTCCTGCTCCTGTCTCTGTCCCACCAGGCCTGCCTGAGGCCTGCCAGGTCTCCTTCCCTCCTCCCCTGGCTAGGTAAGCATGGTCAGGTATACAGGTGCTCATGAGGCCTCCTGAGGGGCAGGGGATAACTGAGAACTGGAAGCATTTTCGTGGCCAACAGGAGATGGAAAATGCTTGGAACGAATACCTGAAGTTGGAGAATGATGTGGAACAGCTGAAGCAGACCCTGCAGGAGCAACACAGAAGAGCCTTTTTTTTCCAGGTGACCTGATACTTGTCCATCCCCTCGAGCTCTTGTTTTTTTCCAAGAGCCTTCACCTGTGGGGGCTGTGAGCGCTGCTCAGGGGACTTTTCCCTCTCTGCCCCAGATGTTCCACCCCTGTAAAGGAGCCACCCCAAGCTCTCCCTTGAGGATCACTTCCCCGAGCCAGGATGTGATGAGAAGCCTCACCCCATTCCCCTCGCCTCTCTGCTCTCAAAGACAAGCTCTTGGGTGTTTTAAAAAGGGCTTTACTTCTGATCATTTGGGGTGATCATGATCACAGAGTGATCAGTGTTCCCTTAGTTCTTGGCCCATCTTAGGCTGCTAGCTCATTGCTTAGACAGCAGCAGGAAGCATCCACCTCTTCCCTCCTCTGATTCCTGGAGATAGATGTTATCACACCTCTACCAGAGGGAGACAGTGTGAATTTTGTTCTTTGAGGCACTCTGGTGTCCAGGCAGTCATCTGCATTTCTGGAGGCCAGGCTGTGTGATACCCATCTCTGTGACCCCTATCCACTCAGGAAAGGTGGCCTTACAGCCCTGCCTCTTTACCCTTAAAAAATTAGGCCACCCCACTGATAGCTGCCTCTGTCTCCTAGAAGGGAGACAGTGAAAGGCCCTGTGTGGTTTTTCTTCTTCCATATTGTGTTCCTAGCTGCCCAGTGTTCCCACACTGTGGTGCTTAACCAGTTTTCCACCCCACCTTCACAATTCTTTAAGTGGAAAGTAACCTGTTTTTGTCTCACCTCACTTAAGATCTATATCTTCTCCTTTCAGGGCCCTGACATAAGTGTGTTTGAATTCAGCAAGCATTAATTTGAGGCTTCCTGTGTATGAGGCACCATGCTGGGCCACTTTTGGTGCTGGCCTTGCTAATTGATGAGCTAGTTCGAACCAAGGCTCTTCGTTTAAATGATTTAATAAGTATGTTGACTCTCCAGACATTAGCCTCACCCCAGAAAGTTGAAGGAAATTCTGGAGGAGGTTTAGGTATGTGGGTCCTGAGGCTTTTCCCAAGGCCCCGATGTCCTTCTGTTCATGCAGAGATGGTTCCCAGAGAGCCCTACCTAGGACCACATGGAGGAGACCCTTGCCTGTGGCTCAAGGCTTGCCTGCAAGACTCTCCCCAGCACCTGTCTGTCTTCTGCTGCTGCTGGGGTTGTTTCCCTCCCATAATTTCTCTTCATCCACACGAGCTAACATTTCAGTACTCTTTTTTTGTAGCCCCAGCACTTACCATAATGACTTGAAAATACTAGGTGAATACTGTTGACAAAGTCCTTCAATTATTTCTGGTTATGAGTTCCTAAAACTGTCCGCCCAGGTATACCTATTTTCTTGGACTTCAGTGATCTGAATTTTTTTAGCAGTAATTTTTTTTCCTTTATTTTTTTTTTTTTAGCTTTTCATCCTTTGTTTCTGTAATTACACAAATGATACATGAATAAGTGTCTTTGAAAAGGCCAAAACAATAAGAAGCAAAAACAAAAAATGATACAAAAGCTCCTCTTCCCCCTCTCCCTTTCTGCCCCCCATCACTCTGCCTATGTGCCATCAGTGCTATCTGTTAATGTTGCTTTCTAGACCATTTTCTATGCATTTTCAAAAATATGCACATGTATAGAATCATATGATTTATTCAGGGGTGGGAGCAGGTAAAAGCTTACTTAAAGATGATCACATTTGTACATTATTTGGCAACTCACTTTTTTGTCATAACCTGATATCATGGAAATTTTTCCAAAAAAGTTAACCCCAAATTTATGCTGCCCAATAAAATATAAATTAATTAAAAGTAACTGAAATTCAAAATGTATCCTCATTTTAACCAGACTCATTCAAGTGCTCCATATCCACATGTGGCTATTGGCTACTGTCATGGACAGTGAAGATTATAGGTTTCTATCATCTCAGAAAGGTGTATTGGGCAGCACCAGTCTAAGAAAATTAAATTCATTCTTCTTGACTGTTACATACTATTTCATAGTCTGGGTGTTTCCTGCTTTACGTAGCCATTCCTTTTCTGATGGCATTTAATTATTTTTGGTGTTTTGTTTTTATAAATGGTGTTGTGATTAGGATTCACCTTTTCATACTTGTTTACAAGTATCTAAGATAGGCTCCTAGGAGTGGACTTGCTGGGGTTGAAATGAGTTTACATCTTAAAAGTTGATGGATATACCAAGCCACCTTCTAAAGGGCTGCATTTGTTTACCTTCCCACCCACAGCAAATGAAAGTACTGAACCTATTTGCCCACATCCTTGTCAGCATTTGTAATCAATCTTTCTAGTCTTGCCTGTATACTAAATGACATCTTGTTTTAATTTGCATTTATTTAGTTATTAGCAGGTGAAACATCTATTCATAAGATTTTTGACCACTTGTGTCTCTACTGTGCTTTATATCATGATGATTTAACAAAGAGCAGGCCAGAGCCCTTTTTTCCCCTTCCCTCCAAAAAGCAAATTGAACACTGACAGGTCTTTGTCACAGACTCCCTGGAGAACTCAGCCCCATGAGTGACTCTCAGATAGGCCAGCCTAGAGCCTGCAGCTTGATTTCCACATTGCCTGCGGCACTGCTCACACTTTCCCTAAGTGGTGCAGTGACCTGGGAAGCTCACAAAGCCCTGCTTTGAGCACACGCTGTGCTAGCTTCTTTGGTGTCATCCTAGGCCAGGCAGGCTGTTTGAGCCCTAGATAAATCATCAACACTGCAGATACACTTGCAGCCCTATATGCAGATTCTCAGTAACAGGGCTTAGAAACTCACCTCCCTGTAGCCTGCTTGGCTCCAGGAAAATGGCCTTTTCAGTCAAGGCTAAAAGAGTGAGTTCAAGGCTTTGCTGAAAGCAGCACATAGGAGCCTTTCTGCCCAGTGTGGTGCAAGCAGGCAGGAATGAAACTCCACTCCCTTGTTTCCCAAAACCTCCCCTCATTATGAAGGCCCCAAATTCTATCACCCTTGGAGAATGATAGGGACTCTCCAGCCTTTTTTCTTCCCTGCTGTCTGATTTTCTCTCACATGCAGGGGTGACAGAAAAGCATAAGGAGGGCAAGAGAGTGGCTGACGGGGGATTTGCCAGGGAGCTCTGGTGGAGGAAGCAGACTGCATTTAATCCCTTTCTTTACCTGTTCCCAACACTCAGCTTGGGGACTTCGGCCCTAGAGGTCATCCTCTTACACACATATGCTCTGGGCTCAGTAATACACCTGTCTGTTTTAGGATGCTCATGCATTGGCATGGAGCTGAGAATCAAGCCCATTATTTGCTTCAGACCCGAGGATGTGCTTTATGTTGGAGGGGTGGAGAGAGAGTGAGAACTGTGAGCCCCCTTGGGTCAGGAGGCTTTGGACATCTGTTGTCATGGCTGTTGGAAAGTATTTGCTCAGGGAATTTTACATGACTGGTCCTTTACTCATGTAGCATGTATGCAGTGAGAACTGCTAAGTGCCAGGCCCTGTAGGGGCAGTATCGGGCAGGTCCTCGAGGCTCATGCAGTGCGAGAACTCTTCCAGTTGGTGGGTAGCTGGGTGCCTTGAGAGGAGATGGGGTGGGAAGCCTGCCTTTATTTTAGTCCATGGGGTGGGACCAAGGCTCTCTTTCCCCAATTATAACTTGAAAGTCAAGAGAATACTACATTTGATGTTTAAACAACCCCATCAAGAGATGGCCATAGTCCCTTAGCGACATCAGACCCCTCCACACCTCTTTTAGATCCTCTTCCCATTCGATTTTGGTTGTCACTTGTTAGAATGCACATGATCACATAGCCTAGGTCCTTCCTCATTGTATGTAGATATGTATTCTTTGGAGTTTATTATTTTTTTAAATTGACACATAAAAATTGTACTCTTATCATACTAAAAAAAATTAACAGCTTTATCATATAATTCACATGCAATAAAATTAACAACCCTTTTGGCTGGTCATGGTTGTGGCTCATGGCTATAATCCCAGCACTTTGGGAGGCCAAGGCAGGAGGATCACTTGGAGCCAGGAGTTCAAGACCATCCTGGGCAACATAATGAGACCCCTATCTCTACAAATACCAAAAAGAAAGAAAGAAAGAAAAAGAAAAAAGAAAAACTAGCCAGGCATGTTGGCATGCTTCGGTAGTCTTAGCTACTTGGGAGTCCAAGGCGGGAGGATCACTTGAGCCCAGGAGTTTGAGGTTACAATGAGCTGTCACCAACTAAGATGAAGCCCAAAGTTGTGATGTCTCAGAGCTGAACGCCATTGTTTCCTCTGTGTCCTCAGATCACCTTCTCCTGGGAGAGAACCTCCTGGGAAAACTTGGGGAAAGGGGCCCAGCCAGAGTCCTAAAGGAGTCCTTAGTCACAAGCAGTTAAAAACAAAGTGACCCTGTCTCTAAAAAAAATAAAAATAAATGCACTATTTTAAAGTATACATTTCAGTGGTTGTTAGTATGTTCACAGCATTGCTGTCACCATAATCAATTTTATAACACTTCATTATTCCCCAACAGAAACCCCGTATTCATTAGCAGTCACTCCCATCCCCACAATGTCCCCTCTGCCCTAGCTGAACATGAATCTTCTTTCAGTTTCTACTGATTTGACTAGTCTGGACATTTCTCATAAATTGAATCATATAACATGTGGCATCTTGTAACTGGCTTCTTTCCCTCATGTGTTTTCAAGGATTATCCTTGTTGTAGCATGTTTCAGTACTTCATTCCTTTTTATTGCCAACTAATATTCCATTCCATGCTATATTTTTAGCTAAACCTCAAATCTCAGGTTCAGCTCTGACTTTTAAAAAGTGTTTTTTATACCCTAGAGATGGTGTAAACTCTAATCCTTGCCTTTCCTTCTGCCATGGTTACATAAGACAGTGCCTTTTAAAAATTTGTGATAAAAAACAAAATAAAATAAAATAAAAATTTGTGGTAAAATACATAGAACATAAATTTTACCATCTTTATTATTATATTTTGTTGAGACAGGGTCTCTTTTGCCAGGCTGGAGTGCAGTAGTGCGATCTCAGCTCACTGCAACCTCTGACTCTGGAGTTCAAGTGATTCTCGTGCCTCAGCCTCCGAGTAGCTGGGATTAAAAGAGCTTGCCACCACGCTTGGCTAATTTTTGTATTCTTAGTAGAGCCCTTAGTAGAGCCAGGGTTTTGCATGTTGGCCAGGCTGGTCTCGAACTCCTGGCCTCAAGTGTTCCACCGCCTTGGCCTCCCAAAGTGTGGGAATACAGACAGGAGCCATTATACCTGGCTCATCTCAATTATTTTTAAGTATACAGTTCAGTGGTAAATATATTCACATTTTTGTGCACCCAATCTCCAGAATTTATTATCTTGTATAACTGAAACTCTATACACATTAAATAGTTCTCCATTCTTCCCTCTCCTCACCCATGGCAACCACTGTTGTACTTCCTGTCTCTATGAAATTGACTACTCTAAGTACATCATACAGGGTTTTAGTGGAATGGCACAGTGTTTACGGCAGTCTGTTTTTAAATTAGGTAGGCAAGCTGGACTGGTGAAAGCTACTGTGAAATTTCTCCCTGCATCTTGGGCATTTTCTATATCTATGTTTCCCTAGGAAACTGTGAAACAGACTTGGCTCTGGCACTAGTGAGGTTTCCAGAGGGGATGCTGCCCCCCAGGGCAGGGGGCTCTGTCTGAAATGGTAGGATAAGTCCTCAGAAGAAACTTCTTGTAAGGAGCTAAGAAGGCAAACCCACCACTTTGTCTTCCTCAGGAGAAATCGCAGATACAGAAAGATCTATGGAGAATTGAAGATGTCATTGCAGGCCTGAGTGCAAATAAAGAGAACTTCAGAATCCTTGTGGAGTCGGTCAAAAATCCAGGTGAGCTGTTCATCTTCCTGGGTGCAGGGGGATCTGGGTGGAGGGGTGGCAGGGAGAGGGTGGAAGGCTGGGAACCAGGTGGGTGGGATGGCTCTTGGGGAGGTCGGGTCTTTGAGGTGCTAAGTCACTCCACTCGTCCCACTCCCCCTTCCGAGGAAGGGGGTCTTGGTTCCATCCCGTGCTTTGTTTTCTTCTGTGCCCCTTAGAGAGAAAAACGGTGCCTTTGTTTCCACACCCGCCTGTGCCTTCACTCTCAACTTCTGAGAGCAAGCCTCCCCCACAGCCCAGTCCTCCCACCAGCCCTGTGCGGACCCCTCTGGAGGTTCGACTCTTCCCCCAGCTGCAAACCTACGTGCCGTACCGACCTCACCCACCCCAGCTGAGGAAAGTGACATCCCCCCTTCAGTCACCAACTAAGACGAAGCCCAAAGTTGTAAGTAGTGATGTCTCAAAGCTGAATGCCATTGTTTCCTCTGTCTCCTCAGATCACCTTCTCCTGGGAGAGAAGCTCCTGGGAAAACTTGGGGAAAGGGACCCAGCCAGTGTCCTAAAGGAGTCCTTAGTCAAAAGCAGTTAAAAAGTAGTATTTCCCTGCTGTTGTGCCTTAGACTCTCAGAACTGGAAGTCCCCTGAAAGATGATGTAACCCAACTCTCCCACTTTGCAGTTGGGAAAACTGAGGCCAACCAAGAAGTGACTGTGCTGAGGAGGGTAGAGTTTGTGGTCTTCACTGTGCAGAGAGGTGTGTGGCTGTGGGCAAGGCTGTCCCCATGTAAGCCTCTGTGCAAATCTGCGGGGGGCTCTCCTGCAGTTACACAGCCTGTGGGCAGTGAGCTCACTCCAGTGGAAAAGTGTCCTTCCCTTCACCTGCCACTGAGCACTGGGCTGGGTTGTGAGGATGCTTTGATCTTTAAAATAACCTCGAGGAGTATACACAGGCAGGGCAATATCCCCATTCCACAGAGATGAAAATTAAAGCCTAAATTGTTGACATTTGCTCAATATCGCCATGCTAACTAGTGAATCCAATCACATCTCCTGGCCCTTCTCTTTTATTCTGTGCCATCTACCATCTAACTGGGCCTTCAGTCCCAGATCTGGTCTGTGGCCTCTGTGCTGACTGGGCCAGAACCTTGATTTGCCTAGAATAGAAAGGGGCCAAGCTCTTGGCAGCGTCTGGGAATGCAGCAGACTTTAAGGAAACAGGAGATGTGGTCAGGTCTCAAGAGAGCTTACACCTCCAGGGCCAGGCCAGCCTTGGCTGGATAACACAAGGAGGCCGGTCCCAGTGCAGGGAAGCCATAGCAGAGTGGACCTCGGAATGGGGGCCTCCAGATTTTTACCAACAGAGGCTTGGAGGAGACTCACTTGGGCACTACGTGTGCCTGGACCTCTGATGAGGTCAGTGCACAGTGCTGGGTAAAACACATGAGTCCTGGTACCCTGGTCCTCACCATCTACCTGCTTCCAGCCATGGCCCAGGGCCCAGAGCTGGACTCAGAGTGTGACGCAGCCCCCAGCCAGAGAGTCACTGTGGGTTTCGACATCTTGAGATCTCCTTCCCAATCCCAGATACAAGAGGTGGACTGGAGCTCTGGCCCTAAAACAGAAGGTAGAAATTACCAAAACAAACAGCAGGAATGTCTGGGGCAGATGGTTGCCGACATAGAGCAGAATGCTGTCAGCTGGGACAGGGAGTAGGGGGAAAAGGCTCTGGTATAGGAGCTGGAACACCCGGAATCTGGGACTGATTTTCATTGTATCCTCAGGCAAGTCTGTCCCTTCTCTGAGCTTCCTCAGTTTCCTTTTTATAGATGGTCACAGAGGCTTCTCCTCAGCATGAGCATCTGTGGCTCTCAGGCAGAGCTTTTTCAGCTTGGGTGAGCCCTGGGGTCACCAGGGAGGTCCTCTCTCCTAGGAATATATGTGTATTTGCCAGTTTCACCATTCGTTTTGTTATTTGCTTGTTTTTAACACTTATAAGATAAGCGTGGTGGTGCATGCCTGTAGTCCCAGCTACTGGGGAGGCAGAGGCAGGAAGATTACTTGAGCCCAGGAGTTTGAAGTTACAGTGACCTGTGATCACACAACTGCACTCCAGCCTGGGCAATACAGCAAGACCCTGTCTCAAAACAAAACCAAACCCGTTTGTATTTGTGAAACAATAATATCCATTTTGAAAATGACATAAAACAGGATTATATAATTTAACGAATAATAATAAAGAGGACACCTGTTTTCTACCAACACCTAGACTAAGAAATAGAACACTACCAGCAGCCAGAAGCCGGTGACTTCATTCCCAGGCCAAGCTGCTCCCTGTCTGCCAGAAGGAACCATGATCTTGACTTTTTGGATAATAATTCCCTTGCCTTTTTTTTTTTTTTTTTTTTTTTTTTTTAAAGTTTTAGTACCTGTGTTGACATTCCTAAACACTGTGATTATGCTGGTATATGATTCTATACTCTTTTCGTATCTTGGATCTTTTCTTCAACATCATGTTTGTGAGATTTATACACATTGTTGCATGTGACTGTAGTTCATTTTTATTTGGCTTAATTTTTTGAGTTTAATGTCTTTTTAAAAATAGATAATATTCTCAAAGGATACAAAAGGAAAAGAGAATTAAAAGGTACATAATAACATGTCTCCTTCCCACCTTCTGTCTTCAGACATTCCATTCAATCAAAGGCAATCCATGTTTGTGTTTATATTTCTGGGGGGCTTTTTAGAAATGGGTGATTCAGATGTCTTATCAGGACTGGAAGCTGGATCCTCAGAGAACTGGTAACTTTCACACCTCAGTGAAGTGTGTTGCTTTAGAAGATTGTTGATAAACTTTTGCTTTGGAGTGCTCTTCCCTGAACTTTCCAAGTGTTTGGAGTGCCCTTTCCTGAACTCTGGGAAATTCTTAAAAACAAAACCAAATTAGACTAAGAAAAAGGGAATTTAGGAGGTGGAGGGTGTGAAGGTCATTAGCCCTGCGAGTGGGTGTTCATGGCAGCCAGGGCCAGTCTGTTGATATGTGGAGGAACGACAGCCCTCACAGAGCACTTCGGACAGGGAGTTTCAAGGAAAACACTTGTATTCATCACATTCTAGGGAATGAGCTGCTTGGTAAGCAGTGAGTCACTCATCCTAACCACCTGTTCTGCCTGAGTCAGGAAGGGGGAGATATTTTGTAACCATGCACATTTCTGATAGAAAGGCCAGGAGGATGTAGCCTCTGTCCTTGTTCGGGTCCCCACCCTGCTGAAGGATCCACAGCTGGTGCAGGGCCAGTAAGCCGGCTCGGGCTGACCACTGCTGAGTGGGTAGATGTTTATTTTCCAGGTAGGTGGTGCTGTCATAAGCATGGAAGTCTGGGCAGGGTTAGCGGCCTGCCTGTGATGTGCACTCCCGATGAGTGAAGGGAGCAGCTTGGCACAGCACCAAGGGCATAGACCCAGGAAGCCCGAGTCCTGGGTTTTGGGACACAGTTATACAGACATCACTTTGAGGAACAGAAACTGTGTACATCTGAGGGGAGAGAGGAGCAGAGGTGTGTCCCTTCTTCACTGCTCCTCCAGGGGAAATGTGAGTGTTCCTTGGCTGAGGGGGTCATGTTCTGTGGCTCTGATGTGACCTGTTCCTGCCCTTTAAACCCCCGACTGTGGCAGTACACTTAGCAGCCCTCCCTTCAGCTCCATCTCACTGGGCACTGATCTGATTCTGTTTCTCAGCAGGAAGATGAAGCACCTCCCAGGCCCCCACTCCCTGAGCTCTACAGCCCAGAGGACCAGCCCCCAGCTGTGCCACCTCTCCCCAGAGAGGCCACCATCATCCGGCACACGTCTGTGCGGGGCCTCAAGCGGCAGTCGGACGAGAGGAAGCGAGACCGGGAGCTGGGGCAGTGTGTGAATGGGGACTCCAGAGTGAGCAGGGGTCCCTGGGGCTGCCACTCTGCGTGTGGGGAGAGGGAAGAGGGTGTGACACCTGCACGTGTGACCACCTGGGATTCTGTCCACAGGTGGAGCTGCGGTCGTACGTCAGTGAGCCTGAGCTGGCGACCCTCAGCGGGGACATGGCCCAACCCTCCCTTGGACTTGTGGGCCCTGATAGCGGGTACCAGACGCTGCCAGGCAGAGGTAAGGCAGGGCCCTCCCTGAAGCTTCCCTGGGAATCCCAACACACTGCTTCCAGCACTCAGCTGGTACCTCATACCCGTCAGCCTGCAGCTCTAGGAGTGAGCAGCAGCTGGCAGGGGCTGTGGGCTGCCAAGAGGGAGGGCCTGGCCTGCCTTCATCTGGCCTACATCCTGATTCTCTTCCTCTGTTGTTACATCTGTCCCCAGGAACAATGATAATAGCAGTTACTAGAAAGCCTGGCATTGTTTAAGCACTTTATATTGACATGATATTCACAGCAATCCTATGAGGAAAGTACTGTTATCCCCATTTTAGAGACATAGAAACTAAGGCCCAGAAAAAGTAAATAATTCGCCAGTTAGCTGATCAGTGGTGGAACCAGAAGACAATCCCAGTGCTCTGGCTTCAGAGTCACTGCACCCTGCAGACTGGGGTGCTGGGTGGCTACCACCAGCTTGGCCATCTTGGGCCTTCCAGACTGCTTCCCTCTCTTGTGCCACTCTAAGACTCAATGAGCCCTTTCCTCAAACACTTTCTCACCAGTTGAATGTCCTTCTCACTGTCCTCCTCACCCCAAGTTGGGTTGTGCAGGGTGCCTAAGAGTGGATCAGGGAGTGAAAGGCATTCCTTCCCCTCCAGCCTTCCATCTGCCGGCCAGCCCAGTCTTCTGCATATAAGGAAAGCCTGGGGTGGTCCACAGATCTGTAGGGACACTGCCCCCCATCAGGGACAAAGGTCACCCCTGGGCTGGCACCCCCATCCTCTCTTGGGGACCTTGGTCTTCCAGGTCCTGGGGAGGAAGAAGAGAAATAAGGATGGGTCATTGGGTGGGTGCTCTTGGTCCCCTTGTAAGATTGGGGGATGATGAGGGAGAAACAGGGACCCGCCCATCCCAGCACAAACATGCTTGTCCTTCTCTTTCCTCACTAAGGGCTCTCAGGGTCCACGTCAAGACTCCAGCAGTCATCCACCATTGCTCCCTATGTCACACTCCGGAGGGGTCTCAATGCAGAAAGCAGCAAGGCAACCTTCCCTGTGAGTGGCCTCAAGCTGTCAAGGAGCTCCCTGCTCCTTCACATGTGGAGGGAGGGACTTCTGGGGGACAGTGACTTGCTATCCCATCAGCCCTCGGGATGTCCTCTGGGGTGGCTTCAGCCTGTCCTGAGCTCCCTGTCACCCGCTGCCCATCAAGGAGGGCATCCTGCCTTTCTCTCTGGCCTGTCAGGGTGGCAGGAGGGAGCTCAAGAAGCCTGCACCCTGAGTTCTGGCCTCACTGGACAGGCCTGAGCCTCAGTGTCTGCATCTGCAGAATGGGTGCTGCTCAGAAAGCTCCTGAGGGCTGAGGGCATCATGTTGCTTAGAGGAAGTAGTTCTCTGAGGCTGAGAGGAACCCAACTAGAGAAGTAAGTGTGTGTGTGTGTGTGTGTGTGTGTGACACAGAGAGAGAGAGAGAGTCAGAGAGACAGCGGGAATGCAGCTGGCAGGGTGGCTGTCCTCTGTGCCCAGCCCAGCCATTCTGTGTCTCTCCTGTGTGCCTCCTCTTCCTCAGAGACCCAAGAGTGCCTTGGAGCGCCTGTACTCAGGAGACCACCAGCGGGGCAAGATGAGTGCGGAGGAGCAACTAGAACGCATGAAGCGGCACCAGAAGGCCCTGGTCCGAGAGCGCAAGAGGACGCTGGGCCAAGCGGAGAGGACGGGCCTGCCCTCATCTCGCTACCTCAGCCGGCCGCTCCCAGGAGATCTTGGCTCAGTATGTTAGGAGTGGGCAGGGACAGGAAGCCCAGTGCCCCTCAGAGTCCCCCAAATACAAGCACATCACACCTTCCGGTGAGCGAGCTGTCCCTTGACCTAGATGCTTCTGAGAACACCCCACGGGGCTGTTTGTCCACGACCCAGGCTGGACAAACACCTGGTCAGAGGGTGACCTGAACCAGAGCTGGAGTGAGGATCAAACAGGCATACCAGTCAGTCCTCCCAGCCACGCTCTGCAGGCGTACAGAATCTCAGCCGAATTCAGGACGTGGGAATACAGGGTTCAGAGTGGAGAGGAAGAAGATGGTGACATGATTGATTAGAAGCAAAAGCAAACCGACCAGCCTCCCAAACCTGCCAGCGGATGCTCTGGGAGGGCGATGGAGCACTGGGCTGCACCCCTCTTCCCGAGGGCCACTGGTCTTCCTGGGCTTTGCAATGCAGAGGCATCAGGGTGTCCGGGAGAGCTGGGGCGGCCTGTGCTGCCCCCTAGTGGCGCTTCCTGACACTGCGCCCTGTTCACAGTCACTTGAGGTCCCTTTTGGAAACATTCCATTTGACTTTTCCCTGTTGTTTGAAATCCCATGTTTTCCTAAACCTCTAGCCTGATCTTTCCCTAATTCATTGCACAAGCTCTTTTGCTTTTAGTGTTACCGCTCATTGCCTCCCTAATCCTGCCTGATTGTGTTTACAGAAACTTCTGATTTGCATTGAACATGCTCTAACTGGCCTGTGCTACTTGTTGTCAGGCTTATAATAGCAGCTCTTATCTCCATAGCCTATTGAGCGTTCCCAGATGTGACTTGCCTTTCTGCTGCCCTCTTTATGCAGGCCTACTGACTCATAATTCATTTGTCCCAAAAGCCACCCCGCAAGCCTGAGCCAACCTGTTACCTGAGACCACAGTCATTGGCAGAGGTTTGGGCATTATGAATTTATAAAACTCCATGCCTTACACCTGGACAATAAACAGGGACTTCAGAGATTGCACGTTTGACTACATTCTACAAAGGCTGAGGTTGTTCCATTTTAATTCCTCTAGTCCAATCACACAAGTTCTTATGGAAAATCTTTTGTGTTTCTGGTATTTAATAACTTGAAGGGATAGCAAAATATACTGTGTATTCGGAGGGCCTATCTGCAGCTGCAGCTCTTAGCTCCGAACCAAAGGGGTAAGACCCAGGACATTCACATCTTTAAAAGCTGCAAACCTGGTAACTTTCACACTTTTAAAACAAATGTCATTTGGAGTAACACTGACCTTTTATAATTTGATGTCTCAAATGTGGAGATTATCTAAAAATCGTAACTTGAATACCTTGTAATCTTTCTCTTCAAAAAAGACTTGTGTCAGTCTCTGCATCAACGCCAATAAACATGTTGCTTAATAATAATGGATTGGCGTGGTTCTTCCCCAGGATACGTTGTAGAATCTAGTGAACGTTTCCTGTTTGTGGAAACAATCAGGCTGGGTTTAAATGAGGACTTATCTCTATTTGGAGCACTTGTGAGCGTGTAAGGAAATGAGTGTTTTCTTTGTGAATCATTAAATTGTTTTTTTCATCCTTGGAACTTCAATTGCCTAATCCTTTCAAGCAATAATTGGAAAACCATCACCTAAGAGTGATTATACTGATTTGGAGTCGTTATTGAGAGCTTGTGCATGAATGGGTGAAATGTGTAAATATGGCTCTGGGTTTGGGATTTTGGAGGGACTTGAGGAGGCATCAAAGACAATCAGGACCATTTGAGGCTTTGAGGTGGGTAGATGGGATACAGGAGATGGCCTGGGATAGATAAGCATCTGCTTTGGTTCTGCTCAGGGGAAGAGAGGCTTTGAGCCTGCTCTATTCTCAACAACCTGCTCAGCAGTCAAAGGCCTGTGAGGATGCACGTTCTGGGTCAACAGGAAGCCACCACAGAGCTGGACGGTCATGGTTGGATCTTATGGGTTAGATTTTCCCTCTTGGGAAGCTTGTTACAAAGTTATACTGTGGAACATCCTTGGAAACATTCCACTTGATTTAGCATTTCAATTTTATATGATTTAGTTTTTTTTCTAATTCAAAGAAAACATCTATCTCAAATATATGGGTCTTATACAGCAGCTTGTCTGCCTCACTGGCTCCAAGCTGCTCTTGCTTGTACTTCCCCATCCCTGCTTTGAGTGCGGTATCCCCCACCTACGAACGTTATCTTGTTGGAAATTCCCAACAGAAAGACCCTTGGTTATTCCACTTGCTTAGCAGGGCCTCGAAGGGCATGTTTTTCCATTAATTCTCAGCCTGGGATATATGTCTCCTGAACCAGCAAGTTTTCCAGGAGCTGTAGATAGCAGAAGGGACAAATCCCTTCTCTAGAGCTGTGTCCCAAGTTGTTTGGAGGTCACCCTCTCTGGGAGCCTTCTATTTCCCTGGGGACCACCGTGAGCCTAAAGTCATGAATCTTTGACCTGTTCCCCAAGGATATATGTTTGAAATTTCTGGGGGCTCAGATCAGAGAGCATTTAGCAGTCTGGAACAGCCCATATGAAGGGGACAGAGGCTTTGTTCTCTATTGCACATATAGCTTTTCCCTAAGGGGATCATAGGTCCATCTTCCAAAGGCTCTCATGGAAAAAGGTGACCAGCCATGCTCTTTCAGCAGTCAGGAAACAACTACATTTAACCCTTTTGTTCTGTTGCCAGTGGAAGCGTGAGCAGGACTTTGACCTGCAGTTGCTGGAACGGGTCGTGCAAGGGGAAAGAAAGGACAAGGAGGAGAATGGCTGGTTGAAAGTGCAGGCCATGCCTGTCACTGAGTTGGACCTGGAGCCTCAAGACTATGACTTGGACATCAGCAGAGAGGTGAGGGCAGGCGCCTCCTTCATGTCCCCCAGGAGGCATGGCTTTCAAGCTCCCAGCCTGATCCGCCCTCCCACTGGGGGGGTATCATCCTGAATAGGGACATGGCTCAGCTTCAGTGTGGCCTAGGAGAATGGGATGGATAGCAACTTGAGGCAATGAAAGGAGGCAGACGTTTCAGTGAAGGTTCAAATCTATCTCTGTAATTTAGGGCAAATTGTAATTTTAGCTTCTCTGAGCCTCAGTTTTCTCAACAGTGCAGTGGGTTGTGAAGAGGATTCAGTGACTCCACATGTTCTCAGGAGGTTTAGTAACCAAAGCTACATAGTAGGCACGTGAGCAGCAGTTGTTATTGTTAGGAAATGTTCCCTGCAACACCAGGGGTTGGCTTTGCAACTGGCTGCTGAGGCCAACTTGGGCAGCCTGACTAGGGGAAAATGGGGGGGCAGGTTTGAAAATCACAGGTGAAATTTCCAGCCATGATAGAAGCTCGGAGACTGTGCAGACTTCTGGTCCGAATTCTTCTGCCGCCCTCTTGTGGCTCATGAGCATCATGACAGGGCAGGCCCGGGAGAGCAGTATGGATCTCTACCTATCTAGAATGTCTCTACCCAAGGGAAGAGAAAGGGAACTCAGGGGATGACACACTCAGCGTCTTCAAGACATAGATGGCCTCCTGTGGCCTATGTCGATGCCATTCCTAAGCTCTGCAGGGCAGTGTCTATGGCTGCTTGGTTCACCTTTGTATCCTTAGCCCCTGGCATAGGGCCTGGCACACAGTGGGTGTGTGGTACATTTTTGCTGAATGAAGACTGTGTTGGATGAATCACACAGTGACTCATAAATGTACCAAAAACATTTGTACAGGGACTTGGCCTGCCCGGAAACTGCGTAAGAGAAAATGTTCTCACCACATGAAGGATGGATTAAGGCTAGACCTCAATAAAACTTTACCCCAGGTCTGTGTGATAGGAGACTGAGTACTGAGGAGGACCTGCATCTTCTGGAGCTTTCCTGCTGTCTTAAGAGGCAGGGCCAGGCCCATTCACAAGCTGATTTGCCAGTGGTATCTACCTGACTCAATATATGGTCTTTGGGAGTAAAGGACCAGCGTGTAGATAAGACAGATGCCTGTAGGGTTGCTGAGTTTGGGGGTCTGCTGGGGCTCTAGGAGTTAACAAGTTTGGTCCCCTGCCCCCAAAGCCTTGTTCTTTTGGCATCTGAAACAGCTAAAGCATTCTCAGATTCACAAAAAAAAAAGTCCCCACATGCTGCCTTGGCAGGGGAGGTGTGTTCTGTAGTGTCCTGATTGCCTGCCAGCACAGGGAAAAAGTTCTTCCTTATCTCTAACCTAAATCCCTCTGGCTACAATGTAATCTGCTTCTTTCCTCTAAAGCTGTCCTCACTGGAGTAACAGAGAAGAGCTTATTTCTTGCCATCTCCAGCAGAGTGAAAGGGCTGCGTGTAGGTTTAAATCCATGACCAGGTTTACCCTGGGTTTGGATTAAGCTTGTTTTTGGAGAGCTTCAACCCATCCCATTTTAGTGTGCTTTTGTAATTCAGGGAGGAAAAGGTTCCTGGAGCATGCAAAAGCTTCTTTTTGTGTGCTTAGTCCAAGCAAGGTTTCACCAAGACAAGTTTGCCACTAGGTCCATGGGAGATGCTGGTGAGATGGAATTTGGGGCCATTTTCCTCCAGCAAGTAGTAGATAGCTGCCTCCTGTCTAGATCAGGAGAGCTTTTGTAGGCACAGAAAGCATCACATCCTTTCATTCACTCACCTGTCAATCATTCATTTATCCATTATCCATCCATTCAGGGAGAATTAGTTGGAGGGCTATTAAGTACTGAGTCCCTCTGTTAGACAGAGGGAGACGATGGCGAATGGAATGTGAGGGGGCGGAGGGGATCAGAGAAGGCTTCTCAAAGTGAGGTTGAAAAGTTGAGAGTCAATGGAACAAAAGGAAGAGCTTCCTAGACTGAGGAACAGAGGCTGCACTGTGGGCGGGGAATTGGAGGGACCGGTTGATCAGTGGCTGGAGAGGTCATCAGGGGTCAGATCACTTAGGGCCTTGATGGTGGCATTAAGGATGATCATTTTTTATCCGAGACCTTGTAGGTTAGTTGTTTTGCTCTTCCCTTCCCTCAGCCTGTAGGAGGCTGTCTGGTGGAATGGAAAGAACACAAGCTTTGAAGTCGGATTCAGGTTCAAAGCTGGATTCCACAGCTGACAAATTTTGCTATCTTAGAGGGCAGGGCGGAGGAGGGTGGAAAACGAGTCTTAAACCCAGACATCTGAGCCTCTCCCTCTGCCACCTCCTCACCTCTCCCCAGCTGTCCAAACCAGAGAAGGTATCAATCCCTGAGCGTTACGTGGAGCTAGATCCTGAAGAGCCACCCAGCCTTGAGGAGCTACAAGCGCGGTACCGCAAAGCCGAGAAGATCCGCAATATCCTCGCCCGGTCAAGGTCAGCCCTCGCTTGCTCAAGTACTGGCAGGTCACCCTGACCCCGGGTGGTGTCTCAACCATGTGGGCCCTGGGCCAGGCTCTCTGGGGTACGTGTTTTGCCAGGCCTTCGACTCAGGTAAGCCCTGCTCATTGAAGGGGGCAGGCTGGTACATCACCAGCAGATCAGCAAGGAAGCCTGCCTAGGTCATGTGGAAAGGCCTGAAACACTCATAGAGGCTTCTTGTCCTGGGCTCTCACCCCCAATTCTGTGTCCCAAGTGACTCTAGCAAGTGTAGAGAGTGGAGCCAGGTGTGGCTGTGAAGTGGACACAGTTGGAGATCAGCTCCAGTGATGGTCCTCCCAGCATTTGGGCCTGTGCACCCTCATACAGACCAGTAGATCAGAGCCAATGACCCCAGCCTTGTCCCTAGGGCACCAGAGGCATTGCCCACTTCCCTGGATGCTAGCCTGGGGCACTTGGAAGCGACTTTCCTGTCCCCTCAGCCTCAATAGCTTCAGAAATTTAACTTTTTTGTAAGCCTGCGTTTCAGAGCTGGCTTAGCCATTTGTGTCTGAATTTAATAAGAGCTTCCAGCTGGAGCCGGTAACTTGAGGTCTGTGGCCTTCCCAAAAGAGGAACAAGGCTGTGATTGTTTGGGTGTTTGGGGAAAAGCACGTATCTTTGTCTAGGGAGAAAGAACCACAGTTTTTGTCTGATCCCCCTCAAAATGTTGCGAACCTCCAGGCCAGGGAGACCCTCCAATCCTGAGGCTGATGCCCAGGGCGGGAGGGCCCATGGTCCGCTTCTGACCCTCCTGCAGCATGTGCAACCTGCAGCCGACCTCAGGCCAGGACCGGAACAGTGTGGCCGACCTGGACTTGAAGCTGCAGGAGCAGGAACGCATCATCAACATCTCCTACGCCCTGGCCTCCGAGGCCTCCCAGCGCAGCAAGCAGGTGGCAGGTAAGGCCATGGCCCAGCCCCCAAGGCCCAGATCCTGCCCCACTGCACCTCAGGGCTTGGGCCCAGCTTGGCCTGTTCCAGAGCCAGTGGAAAATCAGGTGGCAGGGATGGTAGCTGAGGGTCATTGGTGTGTTCCCCTGATCAGAGGGCATCCTATCCCATACGCACAACAGGACTTGGAAAGGAAGGTGGGGCAGGTCACACAGTGAGGGAGACAAAGGGGGACCAAGCTCAGAAGTGTCAGGGGAAGAGGGTCCCAGGAGGAGCGGTGCTGCTACTCCACTTCTTCCGAGACTGTGGGCTAAGAATAGGTTTTTTCAAGACCCTGAGCCAAGGGGTTAAGGTTTCTGAACTCTTGAAGAAGGGGGCAGGAAAGTGGTTGATACTTGGATTTCTTGCCAGGGCAAGGCAGAAGGGGACCCCTCCAGCCCTCGCTTGGACCCCTGCCTTGGTCTCTAAACTAACGCCAGTGTTCCCCTAGTCAGAGTGTACTGTGCCAGAAAATACAGGACTTGGGAAGTGGGACTTTGCAGGCCAGTTGGAAAAACCATGGCATGAGAGCGTGCATGTACCTGTGTGTGTGTGTGTGTCTGTGTCTGTGTATGTGTGTCTGCATCTATGTGTGTGTATTTGTGTGTGTCTGTGTATGTGTGTCTCTATGTGTGTCTGCGTCTGTGTGTGTGTGTGTGTGTGTGTGTGTGTGTGTGTATAAAAAGGCTGTTCTTTCTCTCAGCCAGGAAGGAGACTGCAGGCTCCTCCTTCCATCCACAGCTCACCTGCCTGTGTGTGTGTGCCTTGTGCCTTCACAATTCACCTAGTACCATTTCTCCCCCGATGCAGAGGCCACTGTCTGTCTGGGTGGTGTTCCTAGTCAGGCGTGTTCCTTCTGGAGACGGGGAAGCCATAGAGCCTGAAGTGGTGTCATGGCTGCTACCAATTCTCCAACCCTGGCCAAAGGTCTAGAAGTGGCCAAGGGTGGGGCCAGCAGGACCATCCAATACCTGGCCCTGGGGAGTCTGGTCTGGGGATCAGAGTTTTGCTGTGGCTCCAGAAGGCCATGAGAGTGACTGACAACAAGGGGAGGGGCCATAGTCTTAGTCAAAGCCTGTTCTCTGTCCCCCACAGCCTGATCCTGCACAGAGTCCTTGACGTCCCTGCCATCCTCAGTCCCTTCAAGCACATGCTGAGTGGGCTGAGAGGGGCCCAGTGTGGTGTTTTGGGACTAGGGACACAGGAGATGGCTCATCCAGACCTCTCCTTCTAATGACAGTGGGGCTCATTCTCAGCAGCTTTTGAGCTCCTCCTCATGGGGAGGGTTTGAGCAGGGGTGGCTCCCCCACCATACCATGCCCTCTTCTTGCCTTGCTTGCTCTAACCCTGGGGGTCTCCCATCCTCGGCCTCCTTACTGCCAGCAAATGAGCGCCCCCAGCCCTAAGATGCTGTGGCCAGTTCCCAGGGCCTTTCTCATCCCTACTCAGGGATGATCTTTGCTGCGGCCTTTCCTCACTCTTGATCCCTCTCTCTGTCTCAGAAGCATATCCAGGAACTGCAGGCTGACCCATCTGGTTCCCCACCAGGCCCCATGGATCTGTTCCTCACGCTCAAGCCCAGGCCCTTTGTGGTGGGCAGCAGGTCCCATGCCACCCCAGCCTGCCACATGGGGCATCTGGTGCTGCCGCAGCTGATGAATCTAACGCACCGCTTAATTCCTGTGTGCCCCATCTAGCACAGCAGCTGGCCCTCCTCCTGCCTAAAAGCCCCCTGTCTTCCAGGACGGTGCCACCTTACCCCCCTTTAACCAACGGACTCCACTACACCTTTGTCTAACACCTTCCAAGTAAGAGCCCCTTGCCTGGCGTGCCTCTGCCTGCTCCCCGCCCCTCCCTAGCGCTCAGCCCTGACCTCCCTGCTGTGCTGAGGTGATTGCAGTGCCACCCTCTGACGCTTCCTTCCAACGGCAAAGCGGCTGCTGGGGGGACTTTCCTGACTGGTAGGCAGGTGGGAAAGTGATGCTTTTTGGGAACTCAGCCCTCAGTGGCTCTACTACAGTAGGGACTGAGCGATCCAACCCCCTGTCTCCCTAAAATCTCTAGAACCGAACTGTGATCCCGACTCCCTTGCTCTCCTCAGTAGGGCAACCTGATGCCCGAGGACCAGTGCAGACCACAATACTAGCCTCGGGGGGTGGAAAGGAAGGGTTGAATCTTGGCCTCTCAGGGCTTTGGCCAAATAAATTGTAGACCTGTAAGATAGGGAAAAGTCCAGCTCTACAGATGAGGAAACAGGCCTGGTGAGGGGCTGGGGCTCACTCCAGGTCACATAAAATTGGTGTCAGCACAGAGACTGGGACAGCCCTTTTGGTCACTGGGCATGTTAAGAGGGAGAGAAAGGGAAGCCCAGGGCAACGTGAAATTGGCCCTCAGCCAGGCAGAAAGCTCTGGCACCACCCCTACCATGTCCTCCCCATGTGGGCATCTAGTGATTAGAGGCAGGGCGGGATGAGGAGGGAGCCCTGGATGAGGAGGCTGGCATCTGGTCCAGTCTCAAGTGAGTTCTTGGCCTGGGCCTGTTGCCTCTGAGCCCATCAGTTCACCTGGACAGGGAAAGATCAGACTGGAGGTCTGGGCAGCCCTTTCCCTGACAGTCATTTTGCAGGGCTTGTCCCTCTCCTTCCTTTATATACTTGTGGTTAACATTGTTGAGTGCCTGCTGTGTGCCAGGCATTGTGCCAAGCATCTCTTGCGATCCACACAACAACCCTATAAAGATATTTCCCCCCACCCCGTTTTACAGATGAGAAAACAAAAGCTCAGAGACCTTGAGGGATTTGCGCAAGGAACCACAGCTTGTAAGTGCCGGGGTTTAAAGCCCTTTGATATGAGTTCAGAGCCTTTGTTCCCCATCACCACTCATGAATTCATCTGGGCCACCCCCAGCGACTCTAGTTGTTTGGAGAAAGAAGTGAAAGGAGGGAGAGAGTATTTGTGCTGCAGGGGGTGAGGCATGATGTTTTGGCATGTCAGCAGAGTCAGCAGGTCCCCACCAGCCTGAGCATGGAGGGAAGAGGCCAGGCTCTCAAGATGTGTGCGGTAGAGGCCCCATGATGGAGGAGCCATAGGGAAGTGCTCTAGCTAGGTCCATTGTGAAGGCCATGGTTGAGGGTATGGCTTTCTCCTAGAGATCTGAGCACAGTAACAGTGCTCAGGCACCAAGAGGCAGGAGAGAGGCTCTGTTCTGATCAGCCCTTTATTCTCTTTTTGCAGTGCTGCATTTCCTCTTACCCTGTATGACCACCATGCTTTTAGATTAGAAAAACAAGGCCCCCAGAGGCCAAGAGCACTACCCACATTCAGTGAATGAAGAGTGGGGCCAGACTGTACCCTTATCACAGTCTTTGCCCTATCAGGGTAGGGACCCAATTTAGGGGGCAGCATGTGTCTAGCAGTGGAGTTAGGGGTGCAGGGAGGGCAGGGAGAGAGCCCCATGTGTCCTAGGAGCTGAGGGTCCCCCAGCAGCGGCCGCATTTGCTGGAGCCCCCTGCTCTGTTGCTCTGTCTGCCTGCCTAACTGCCATTCCTTGTCATGTGTGTGCAGACATGCCCTCCCTGGATGTCAGCAGGGCTCCTGCCAGCCTCTCACTGTCTCCTATGCTTTTTTGCAGCCCAGGCAGTGACTGACCCGTGACCCAGTATACAGAGAAGCCTAGAGCCCGGGGCCCAGTGGAACCAGCTTCCTCCAAGGAGATCAACCTTTCTGCCCCCAAGGAAACTGCCTCCGGCTGGGCAGGGAATCTGGCTGGAGGAAGGAGCAGCTTACTGACTGCGGGTGTCCACCACAGGCGAGGCCCTAACACGCATTCACTAGTTTAGCTCAGACTCCTCTCTACATATGAATGGCAAAGGCACTTTTGATACACACTGTAAAATATACTGTATTTTAAAATTGGAATCTCTTTTCTAATGTTCACCTCAAGGGCTGAGTGGCAGGGAGGGTGAGGATGCAGGACTTTGCAGCTGCACCTACAGATTCAGGTACTTTTGGGTGACAGGTGTGGGTGGGGGAAAGGGCGGGGCAAGCAGAGGACAGTTCAACTTCCAATGACCTCAAGAGAAAGTGGGATTTGAAGAGGCATTCCCAGTGGATTCCAGCGTTAGGCTGGTTGGCATGCTGTCTAGGAGAAGAAGGGCCCTTGGCTGCAGAGATCAGCTGTCCCTGACCTGATGACCAGCTCTATGTGAAACTCCACCAGAATGGCACGTGGAGCCCAAGTCTGCATCTTGGCCCTTGGGTTTGGCTTAGGGGCAACAGTGTGTTCAAAAGCACTGGGGCCCACAACCTGCCCACAGGCTTCCCTCAGCAAAGGGCTCTTATCAGAAAGAAAAAAGCAGTTTGCTTTCATTGTTTTTTGATACGGAGTTTTACTGTTGTTGCCCAGGCTGGAATACAATGGTGCTATCTCAGCTCACCGCAACCTCTGCCTCCTGGGTTCAAGGGATTCTCCTGCCTCAGCCTTCCGAATAACTGGGATTATAGGCATGTGCCACCACGCCCAGCTAATTTTGTATTTTTAGTAGAGACAGAGTTTTTCCATGTTGGTCAGGCTGGTCTTGAACTCCTGACCTCAGGTGATCTACCTGCCTCAGCCTCCCAAAGTGCTGGAATTACAGGTATGAGCCACCGCACCCAGCCTGCTTTCATTTTTAACAGTACACAATGAAGTACAGAAAAGTTGAGAGGAAGCAACTTTCATTGTATCATAGCAATAAACTCCACACTGGGTGACATCTACCTAGAAATCCCTTCCCTCCAACCAGGCCATGTTGGGAACTTTCTCTGCCTGCCCTTGGAAAACCCCGGTTGGCTTCCCTAGGACTCAGGTCTGGTGGCAGGAGGGCAGCAGTGTGCCCCCACCATCCCTGATGGCCTGCTGCTGGCAGGGCCATAATGGCAGGACTTGACTTCCAGCCCCACATGAGAAGGGGAGGCTACCAAGCCAGGTGCAGTGTTTGTGGCCCTTTATTTAAGTTGTGTTCTTATATTATTCTGCAAATAGAAAATGATGTTTAAATGGAAAAACAACAACAACAAAAACTTCCATTGGGTGGAGCCACACTTTAAATGAAAATTTCTCTTTGACTATGCTCAGAAAAAAAAAATAGAATTTTGAATATATTTAGCAGTTGCCGTCTATTTTTAACTAACTCCATATGCTGCCAGTATCGACTTCATGACATTTGCCAAATAAAATTTTATTTTTGCCTTTATAAGATTTTCTTGGAAAAAAATGAATATTTTGCAAGAAAAAGTTAATTTAAAAATGTAATGGTTTGCAAAAAGATGTGATGTACAGATTAAAATATTAACCTGATATGTTTCCTGCTTCTTGCAGACTATAGTCTCTCGTGAGTGGTCTGTGTACGTTTTTTTCCATTTCTTTGGAAAATCCCCACGTCAGCTCTCGGCCCTGCTTGTACTCACCTATGAAAAGTTTCTTCTGATGACAGCTCCTTGACATTTGATTGACTGTGGAGGCCTGGGGTGAGGAGGCCTGTGCTTCTGGCCCCCTGGCTAGGCTTCCACAGCTGGTCAGGGCAACCCTGTACCCCATCCCAGTCAACGAGCCCCCCCACCCCATCCCAGTCAAGGACCCCCTACCCCCACCCTATCCCAGTCAGGGAGCCGGTGGGCTGTGGACTCCCTCATGGGGCTGGTTCGGCAGACAGACTGCAGTCCAATTCAAGACGCTGTGGGCCCCCTTCCAACCCACATGCTGCCGGCTCGCTCCAGGGAGACAGCTTAGTGATGGACCATTGCAAACTGGATTTGTGTTTAATTCATTTTGACTTGTGATGTATGCTCAAAACAGAAGGCAAGAAGCCAGTTCCATTGAGGGGTGTGTATATTTCCAAGCTTCTTGTTATAGCAGTTTTTCTCTACTGCCAAGAAGAGCATCCGAGGTTGGTGGTGACTTTCCAACTATTTAAACTGGGGAAAATAGATTCCAAGGCATTCCGAACAGGGGATACTGCTGCTTTTTTGGCTACTGATCTCTTTGAATTTTAAAATAAAATGTACTTTTTGGTTTTAAGCATTGCTTGGAGATGTCACAATAACAAATGAAGGGGGGTGGGGGTGGTGAGAATGATTTCATAACTGAGTGCAAAGCCCCCCAAAAGCAAAAAAGAAGCCATAAAGGAGATAGTACCCACCCCACAGGGTGGCCATCTGTAGACGTTTTCTCAGTGAAAACCTGCCAGTTTTTTTTTTTTTTTTTTTTTTTTAACTGTTGGTCTTTCTGTCTCACACATATAATCCTGTGTAAGTGGGAATGCAGCAACCCCCTACCTTACTGCTCTTTTCAGAGTGTGCTATCAGGGAGGAGGGGTAGCCTGTTCTATAAGAATTGAGGCCCAGATTTCAATCTACAGAGTGCGTGAGTGTGTGACAGGCCCTCAACTCAGAGTCGGCGGAGAGCATGCGTGGTCAAAAAAGGCACGCTACAGCTCCATCCTGCATAACAGGTGATGTGGCCCAGCCTTGAGGGCACTCTTGTTACCTGAGGTAAGATGGGGCCAGGCCATCTGTGACAGTGCTGGCTGGCCAGTGACACTACAGGGTGGGGAGGACTCTGGGGAATGCCATGTGGCCTCGTGATTCCAATTTCCCTTCCTTCCAGGAGACCCCAGGGCCTGAGCAGCCTTTTAAAGAACGAGATTGCAGTTGATGAAGGGGGCGTGAACACACTTCTGCATCCATTTGCTGGCGTCCACTCCTCAATTCCGACTTTTAACCACGTCCAGGTTGAGCCCCGGATGTCTAGTTTTAGCGAGAACCAACAATAACATTTTAGGATCTAGTATGAAATGGATGAGGAATAACATCTTCTCCTAATGCCTACCTGAAGCTCCTGAACAACCAAGATTCTCAACACATCCAGAACGTCGTTCAGACAATGACAATCGTATGTAGGGTTTGTGAGTCCACATGGAGTAGATGTGCCCAGACTGGTGGAGATGATGAAAACAAGTGTTTCATTTTCTCCGTCATTCACTTTCCTCCCAGCCTTGGTGTCTGCTCTGGGAGTGTAAACTTCAGCTAGCCCCTTTCTGCCTTTCTAACCCTTTGGCTGCCTTTAGGTCAGCTGGGTTCTCTAGAATTTTCTTTTTTATTTTAGGTTGCAGGTCATGGCCAGGCAATCATCTATCTGCCCACATTTCATAGCAGGGACCTGAAGGGGAGCGGGTAGGGTGGAGCAGCCCCTGGCTCAGGCTTGGCCAGACAAAAGCCCATTTTGGGCTTTGGGTATTTCCCACAAGCACAGCATAGGACTCCCTGGCAAGTCCTTTTGTGTTCTCACCAAGGGTGGGAAAGAAGAAGCAAATTATTTGTGTAATCCCCAAATCACATTTCTGAGACATGGCAGACAAATGCTGGGAGCCCTCTGCTTCCGACTCTGCATCAGACGCTGGGGTGTGCAAGGGACTTTGCCCATGTGGGTTGTGCACTGTTATGAAAAGAACAAAGAGATCTGGCTGGGGAAGACATGAAAAATGGCAGCGCCCCTCCCGGACTGGTAAACACGCCATGGCTTTGCCACCTCCACTCAAAAGGCTACCACTTTCATTGCTCTCCTAGCAAAGAAACCTTTCTTCAGAGTGAGTGGCGGGGTACAAAGGCAGAGTACAAAATGTGCGCACATCACAGTCCCTGCAATTCTGTTTGAACAAGTGTATTGATTGGGTCTGACCTTGTTACATTTTTTCCCTATTATTTGAAAAGGTGCATCTAAGTGTAGTGAATTGAACCGGCAGAGCTGAACTTTCCATGAAAACTTCTCAAGGTATTTCTTTAGTTCAAAGCTTTTGAATTTTAAAGGGCATTTTTAATATGAGTCTGTTGAGTATTCTCTGCCACAGCCCAATAAGGGATGTTAAATGCAGATGAGGTTGGAGCAGGGTGAGGAAGGGAGCGGACCATGCAGGGGAGGCTGCTGACCAGCCCAGGAAGGTCTGGGTTTTGGGGAGAAGGCTTAGCCCCATGCTTTGGAGCAGCTAAAAGGGACCTCTCTTAGCACTAGGGCAACTACTTAGGGACAGGGAAGAGGCTTCGCCCCTGAACTTGAAGACTTGCACTGGGAGAGCCGGGAAGTACTTGCTGAGGGCTCCTCCAACGGAAGAGGGTTTTGTCCTCAGGCATAAGGGCCTCCTTGCTGCTCAATGTCTCACACTCTGCCCTAGAACTGGAAAGGAACACGGGAGTCAGAGTCTCTTGGCCGAGCTCACAGAGTGAGACAGGAAGCTGCTGTAAGTGTCTGCAGTCACCTACATCCTCCAGCCCCCAGTGGACTTCACTGATCAGTTGCATATACTTTCCCACTGAGCCCTGAGCTACATCTCAATTCTTAACTGATTTCATATCTTTGGATTTGGATGTGTTGCTGGTTGTGTGGGCCATGGCAGCAGTCCCTTTCACCTTCCTGGCCCAGGACTCTGGAACTGTCTACCAAGTCTCGCTCTCCCCACATGGAAGGAGGCTTTTTGTGGTGCACTGAGGGTGCACAGCCCTTTTTGACCGAGCTTCTGGCTCATGCTGGTCTGAGTCTCTGTTTGCTGAGATCAGCTCAGCCGTAGAGACCCTAACCCAGGCAGCACTGAAGGAATTAAGAAACAGACACAGATAGAAAGTAAAAGGTAGGTGATCAGATTAGGGCATCAGAGGCCTCCCAGCATTTCCAGCTGAGAGCCCGGAGCAGACTCTGACCCACGTATTTATTCTTTACTTTCAGTGACAAGTTTTACAAGTGGATGTTCTGTGTTCTTTCATTGCTTAAAGGTAAACTAACCAGGCAGCTAGTGTATATTTACTATAGGTTAAAGATAAACTAGAAACATACTTTACAAGGGAACAATTGAGGCAAAGTTATATGTCCTGTGTTCAAAGAACTAATTCATCTGGTGTGATACATGTTCATATTGGTTACTGTTTTATAATGCTTTGAGCAGTTTTTTGCTTTGGGATGCAGTTTTCTGCTTTGGGGACTGACTAGGTTTTCCTTGCTGCCACTCTCAGCAAACAATATGATATATCACACAGGTCAGAATTTGCTCTCAATATCTGTTGCCCCATGAGGCCCTTGGGCCTGGAAAGCACCTCCTTCCAAGACCCAGAATTTGGGTTCAGAGGCAGCGTCATCCCTGGGAGGAGCTGGAAAGTCAAGTCCTGCACCGAGAGAAGCCAGGGTTTGGACATCCCAGTGAAATCCTTTCTCCAGTCTAGAAGACAGAGGCTCAGAGGAGCACAGTAGGGTCAGAATCACAGTAAAAAGCAATTCTCTGGGTCCCTGTCTGCCCACAACTGTGGGAACATCAGACCCCCAGAGTCTTCTTGTTCTGGGTGCCTCCAGAGGTGTTCCATGTATGCTCCGAAATCCATTTTCTTCGCTGTCACTTTTAGGACTTTCTGCTGTTACCTGTGTTTCTTGGGGCCACACTAGCTGTTAGGCAAAATGAGGTCTCAATGACAGTAGGAACTCATATTTCATGGCCTCTGCCTCCTTCTGTTCACCACAGGTGTCTTCTGCTATTGTCTCACCTGGTCATTCCTGGGACCCCCAGACTTTCCTTACATGCACTCACAACTGTCCTCTCAAGGTTAGGTTCTTCCACTTGCAGCTACTTGATGCCCACTGGCCATAAAGCCACTCATGAAGCCTGGAACAGGCTGGCTCCGCCACTGTGGCTTTGCTGATATCAGCTGGTCTTGCTTACTACTTGGGCCAAAGTGTGGCCTGGGCATCCACAGGTCTCAATAATGGCCACTCGTGCTTATAATTTAGGGCCTCAAGTATTAACTAATTTAGAGGAAAACTTGCTCACCAAAAGGTGATAATCTCCTTGCAAACTGGAAATTGCTTAGAGCACAAGCCTCACAAGATGCAATGGTTTCCATGACCCTTACCAACAAAACTTCTGCAATGCGGTATCTGCTCCCGTACACCTTGTCTTAGTAGCCAGCCTGTGGGTTTCTCCAGGGCAGCCTTTTGCTCAGTGCCCAGCTTACCACAGATGCTGACTGTTTAGGGAAGGTGAGGTTGGAGTATGCTGGGGGAGCTGCGGTGTCTACCTCTGCCTCCCACTTCTCACTATTCCAGGAGAGCTGGCCCTGGGGCAGCAGTGCAGAAGCCCAGGGAAACTTCTGATATATGGAACAGATGTGAGCATATAATGGATGCACTGAGCTTGGCACCGGGTTGGGGGGGTACAGTGGAGAGGCATGGGAGTACACAGTCATGGTTAATTACACACCAGCATCTCTTCTACCTCCCAGGAACTTACCCACCACTGATGAATCTAGTCAATACCTGAAGCTCCACTAACCTCAGGTTGGAATA